ATCACTATGACCTGCAACTGCAAACTAGTATAAAAAGATTGCTGTTTAATAATGCATCATGTGAACTGCGGATATTTAATAGCAGGCGGCCTCTTTTCTTCGACACGTCAGTTGTCGAAATCATCGCACTCAGCAAGAGAATTTAGTGAGTTTGCGCAGTATGAGTATAGACGGAATAACAGTATTTCTGTACTTGCCGCGACAGCACGCGAACGGGTCACGGTCTACAAGCAGCGTCTCGGCCTCACGGTCATGGATTTAAGGGGTACGTGTGGTTAGCACGAAGACATGCCTTCGCCGTGCTCTGGTCTTTTCAATCTGAGAAGTAAGTTTTCTTATCGTCTCACAGCAACATATATTGGAATATTGCTAGCAAAGCGTACACTACAATCTTGCCCGTCCGTGAATCGAATGGGATTGCATCATGGAAAGCGAGCACGCTGACTAATGAATGAGCTAAACCGCGAGGGCAGGCAGAATAACACAATCAAATATTTACATTTTTCAGTCACAATCGATAATGTTTGATGGATTTTTTATTTTTCTCGTGTTCCTAGGTATCTACCGAAAACCATAGACACCTTTTACTGGCCGGAGGCTGCAGAGTTATCTTTCAATTTTTACTCACGTTGAAATTACTACGTGTAACATAGATATGCGCCCCTTCGGCGGCTCATGGACAGCGTGCTAGTTTTCCGAGGTGAGATCCTGGCTTCGATACTCGGTCGGGGCGAAAATGGAGTAGTAGCTTGCCATTACAATCGCCCCAGTTTCAATAGAGGTGTGAAGAAAATCATACTCAGGCAGGACAAGTATGTTGTACCCGGTGAAGGGAATGTCATGCTCGCCACACGTCTCCCTTGCCCCCAGGCGTGGATAACAAATAAAAACAGGACCCATGCCTGGGAACTCCGCTAGCTCGCAAAATTTTAATCCGACTCCAAAATACCAAATGCATACAATATTGATAAGCGGTGCCGAAGAGGTAACTCAGGGCATCAATTGATATCACTTCAGTGCCTCTGACCGCCTAGTCCTAAGTTCCAGTCCCAATGACGGCATGAGTTTCGACACTAGCTAGGTAGGTAGGTCGAATTCAGTCGCTGTCACGAGGAGACTTCCAGCGGCCGGCTGCTCTGATTGGTAGTTTTCCGTTTCTCCAATCAACGCTAGGCAAATGCAGGAGCAGTAACCTAATAAACGGGCCACGGACGGCGAGCGATCTCTCCTTCCTTATCCCTTTCACTTACATACACTGCACACACGTCGAGAGTCGGGTCGGGCACTTAGAGCTTGGCCCGGCTGGGGCGGTGCCCGCTAGTGGGAGATACCTTGTTGGAAAACCCCGCTAGCCGACGGTAGGTCGATGCCAGATCTCGGCATCCAACGGGGGGTATCGCCGCAGCACCCCAAGGAGAAAAACAAGCACTACCCGTACGGTACTAATCACCTTAGGAGTGGAGGCGCCCGGAATCACTAATCAATCAATCAAATCAAAATCCAGGCGTGGATAATAAATAAAAACACCGCTAGCTTGAAAAAGTCGGATTGACCCTTATCTGCCTGAATTATTTTGTAAAAAATGTTCATTACACCATTTTATAATTTCAAAAAAATAATTTTTTTCCTCAAAATTTTGCAATGCACATGGTGACACCTTGGAAAATAACATGGAGTTGTAATTGTATTATAGCAACATTTTAAGATGAAAGTTTGAACTAGCTACAGATTCGTAGAGCGTGCCCGTACGGGCAGACACGGGTAAATCCGACCCCAAGAAGCCAAATGCATACAATACAGATAGGCGATGCCGCAGTGCGTCTCATGCGAGTAGCCGCGCACGACCCGGCCCGGGGGCGGGGGGGGGGCCGGCCGTGCCTTTCGCACGGCAGAGGTGGCGCGACGTGCGCCAGAAGACGTCGCGCAACGCACGTGCGTGATTCTTGCGCTTAACGCAATGCGTCCGCGCACTTTCGCCGGTCCCCACGATGCCCTGTGCGAGATACGACTTTTTCGGATTTTCTCCTGCCATCGCGACACGACACCAAGTGGCGTGGCGGTGCCAAATCGAACGGGCCGACAGCAACACCCGAAGAAAGTTTTCGGAATGCCTGTCCCCAAATGCGTGGATGGAAATTGTTTCTTTAATGTTTTGTTCGTATAGAAGAAAGTGCGTTTATAAGTATGGTAAAGTTCCAGTTTTCACTAAAAACTCTGGCATTAAGAAAATTGCTAACACTAAGGGTTTTCGTTTTAGAAAGAAGTTTCAGCTTTCCACTCTACCAAATTTCGTGATTTTTGCTTAAATGAAAGATAGTAGTTTCCAAATGTTCTATCGCTTGACATTTTTAATCGGTTTTATAGTATAAATACTAAATTTTAATAAAATCATAAAATTAATTGCATGAACTCTTATCGGCGTCTTTGATTCATTATTTCATTGTGTTCGATCTATTTAAAGCATTCGAAATTTCCCCTTCGAGAAAACATGTAAGTCTAAGGTTATGTTTGAGAAGCTACTGTAACGAGTTTTCTTAAAATCGAAGAGAGATTTTAATACAAAGATGTGTGAATGTATTTAAACACAATCTAGCAATTGTTTGACACGTATCCTTTCACCAAAAAATTCAGTGATTATAATTATGTAGTGTAAAACGTTTTTTACACTTTCAACAAAATTAAAATATTATGTGTATGAAATATACGTAGTATACGGAAAATTATGTAATGCTGCGGAAAATCGATGTCGAGATTTCGACGGATATACACATTTTGGGGTCCCCGATACCGAAAAAGTTTGTTTTTTTCAAAACGTCCGTCTGTCTGTCCGTCCGATTGCTGTATATGAACTAGCGCCTAAACCAAGCGAGATTTTTTTCCAAAGTGAAGAAACCTCTGTCCATTTGGCCTAAGTCGAAGCTATGCGATTTTGAAAATCATTCATTAGTTTTTGGGGATACTTTACATGAAGCCGCTGGAACATTTTCAAACTTTTCTCAAAAATGGCTCCCAATTTTTTTTTAAATTTCTTATAAGAATAGAGTAAAATGCACTAATAAATGTGGCATAGATCCGATTTTCATGATTAACTCTGAATTTTTTAAAATGTTAAAAGTTTGTATGTGTTTCGTGGTTATCCTACAACAAAATTCAAGATAGAGATTTTTTCTTCAAATAAAATGTATTCTCCGCAGTAAGTTCTTTCATTAAGGTCGTGTACATTTTTTTGAAAATTTGAGTAGTTTTCGTGCAATTTTAAAAAAAATTACAAAAACAAGATTTCGCTCCAATATATTTTTAACTTTTGGTAGGTGTTGTGCTAAATGCACTCAATATCACGACATAATTGCCATATTGCTCTATTATTTTGTTGTTGTTTTTTAAAATAACAAAATTGTAATTTTATTGACTTACTTCTCACGTCGTTAATATTTACATTAGCCGCAATTTGCTCACATTATTATATTTATGCGTGCATGTTCTTTAAATAATGTCACATAAAGTTTCTCAAAACTCAACCGTTTTCTGTGAAAACTAGCTCAAAATTTCGCAATTTCAGAAACGCTCAAACGCTACCTTTTCAAAAATGGCTCCAAATTTTGTCTTCAAACTTTTCGGACGGATAGTGCTAATAGCACTCTTTAATATGACGTAAAGTTCATTTCGAGATATTTTGTTTAATTACACAAATGTATATTTTTTTATATCTCTCCTGTAGTTAATATGCCAATTTCCAACAATTTGTAAACACTATTGCATTTGTGAGATAATGTGCTTGAAATGACTTTCAATGAAGTTTTTCGAAAACTCAAACCTTTCTGTGAAAAAGAGCTTCAAATTTCGAATATATTCAGTAATGCTTAAGCACCATTTTCTTAAAAACTGCTTCAAATTTTTCAAAGAAGTTTGCCTTTTAGGACGCGGTTTTACTTTTCTCCAATATTCTTAAAATAATATTTCCGTTTTATAATTAGTAAACCGAAAAATTACGAAAATTTGAAAAAAACGTATTTTGAACGGCGATACATGTCAGCAGGCAAGAGTTTGTAGCAAGTTCAAATAGGTAATCGACACCAAAGGAAATAGAATACTAATACGTGTGTGTGTGACATTCTGTAGCATCACTAATTTATTTCTCGCTTTTTTTCAAAGAAATATATTCATTTCTTTTGTACATAATAAACAATTTACATGTTTCTAGAGTGTTTATATGCTTCTGCAATGCAAATTTTTGCGTAGAAAGCATTTTTTCAAAAAAAATTTCGAGTGCTTATTATGGCTCAACCATTCGGAATATCCACGTAGTTTAATAGACAAAATATGCTTAAAATTGCCTTAAGAGCTTATTTGCGAAGTTTCGACGTTTCCTCCCCAAACATTTTGTATTTACATACATACACATACAAATGCTTCTCCCTCCCCCCCAAAAAAAAATCGTCTCTGAATCCGCTCTTAATTCAATTATGGATCTTTAAATTATGCCAAGCACATTTTGTTAATCATCTGAGTTGTTGTTGAATAATAACTCTTTTGCATTTCAAATTCATTCGTTGGAATCGTTTTATAATAGAAATGTGTTCATATGGTGTTTTTTTTTTGTTGAAAAATAGAATATTGCAATTCATCTCTTACCTACGTCACAATTTAAATTTCCGAAATAACTGTTTCCGAAATTTCCGATAACTGCTAAGTGGTAAATGATTGAGAAATGTGTGTGCTAGTGTCTTACACTAGCGGCTCATAATGAATAATGAACCTTTATTTTACGCTCATAATTTTAAATCGTTCGTCGTGAAATGTTAGTGATTAGTAAAGGTATCTTCCCTGTTGCAAATGGTCGATGCGTGTTCCTCATAAAAAAATAGCTATAACATTTAATTAGAATGTCAGCTCGCAAGTTTCCGCAGCTTCGAACTTGCAGCCACCTGCCACCCAGAGGCGATAGTGCTGCTCTCACCATCCCTGAAAGCCACATGAACTGTAAAGATAGTCATATGTTTACAGCTTATCAAATACAATCGTCTCATGTTGGTAACACTGTTACCGTGTATCACTGCGGAGTGCGCACGTGGGATCGCATATACATGCGTTTATACATAGACAATTATAGGCGTGGGTGCTTGTGATCGCGTGTGATATGTTGTGCGTTTGACGTAGGACACGTCCATCGCATTATTCGTCGAAAAAATAAATAGTTATCTGTGCTGTTGATCTGTAATAGATTTTGAGAGATGTTGCATGATGAAGAGGATGAAAAGCCTTTAAATTTCCATGATATGGAATTGGACGATCGAATTTTGAAGGTATACGTCGTTTTCATTTTACTTCCCAAGTGAATATATTACTTTGATCAATTTGTGAAACTGTACGATTGTTTGTATCTCTGTGCTTAACCTAGAATTGTGGATTATGTACTAATTGTATTTGCTGCTATTGCAGGCAGTTGCAAAATTAGGATGGATAGAACCAACCTTAATTCAGGAGAAAGCTATTCCCTTACTGTTAGCAGGAAAAGATGTTCTCATAAGAGCATGGACTGGTTCAGGAAAAACTGCTGCTTTTGCCATTCCTGTAATTCAGAAGATACTAAACTCCAAGATTGTAAGTGTTGTCTAACGGTCATGACAATGGAACTATGAATATCGTATTTATTTTATTTATGTGTGTTTTAGATAAATAGGCACTCGTTTAATATCTTCAGATTGTAGTTTTGTCATCAGTCACTATTATTTGGGAAGCAGTTAAATTTGACATGACTTCATAAATTTTGTTATTTGTTAACGGATGTGTTGTAAATTGCATTTTTAAATTATGTTCATGATGGTACTTCCTAATACATCTTCATACATCTACTACTTCATGTAATACGAAAATCTTTCAAGAATTTATAAAAAGGTATGAGCTGTGATTGTATAACGTAACTTACGAAGGTACCTGTTGAAGTTCTGTGAATGGAAGTAAAATATTGAATTTAACTGTTAATCCATTGAATATGTTGTTTATAATTGTGAATTTTACTTAGTTATGACTGTTTTCATAGGAAGTCAATAGTGTGTTAAATTTCTTTTCAACTCCCACCTTGAATAAATGAAGAAAGTGAGGCCCATATAAGTTTGAGTCATTTAGAATTAGTATGTCTCATTTCCTTTCATTTATGAAAGAATTTTGCAACATTTTGATGACAAAAGTGCGATTTAATCTTTGCTGTGGTAGGGCTGTTCAGCTTGGTGGCTCCACACTGGTCCACAACGTTGTTGTTTTTTGTTTTTTTATATTGTAAGCACATAGCATTGAAGGTAACTTGAAACAATCTTGTGTGTGGAAATTGCAAAATTCAAACCCATTTTTATGCCGAAATACTTTTAGAGCATAGTTCATGTTTTGCTAAACTTTTCTGCTGCCAAGCACTAACTAGTGGAATAGCCCTTCTGAAGCAAAGATAAAGCAAATTATTTTACATTGGATGTATTTTTGCTTCATTACTGAATATTTATGTAGATTTTCTAAATTATCTTTATTCAAGGAAATAACAATAATAATAAATTACTTACTAAATCAATTCAATTTATAGTTTTTATGTTTGTTTGCATTTTTCACTCTCAGAAAATTTGTATATAATGAATTTTGTGCAGACGGCAAAGGAGCAAACAGTGAAAGCACTTGTCTTGGCACCAAGTAGAGAGCTGTGTTCACAAATCCAGAGAAATTTCTCAGAACTCGCTATAAAATGTTCTCAAGAAGTTCAGTGTGTTGATATTTCATCTCAGGTAATTCTCAACTTTTCTGTTCTAATGTAAATAGAATTTTTGTTCATATTAATTAGTTCGTTAGTGAAGATTTCAATGAGTGTATTGATTGTGTCATTCTTGTAATAATGAAATAAATGTTTTATTGTGGTTCTATAACCCAGATAAGGCTCTTAAAGTTAACTATGTGTCAGACTGTTTGAGATAATGCAATAATGTGCGAAAATAAGGGCATACATTGGTGACCAAAGAAATAGAGCCAGTCCAATTGGTGAGAGTTAAATCTGATAGTTTGCAAAATGTCTGCTGGTGGAGTTGCCAGTCCCTTGCAGCTGACCCAAGAGAACACTTTTGCCACTTTTAGATGCATAGAAGTAAGCGTTGGATTAAGGCACACAATAAACAACTTTAAAGCAGGAGACTTAAGGGCCATCACTTTACTTTTAAAATGGAAATTTGTCTTTTTAAGTATTTGCTTAAGTATCTGAAAAGTAGAGCTTCCTGTGTTGTTGTAAACAAAATGTTCAGCAGTACAAATATTAAGGGTGTCATTTGACATTCCATTTGTTTGCGTTCTTCCTGGTGGACAGGGTAAAACACATGAATGAAGAGCAACATTTAGAAATGTTTCAAATGTTCGAAAATGGTTTACCTATGAAAAAATCACAAACAATTTTTGATTCTCGATCGAAGAATGGACTGATTAAAAACCACTAGTTAGGACAAAGTGTGAGAAGAAATTCAGAAGCTAGCAATATCCATCGTTGAATGCAGTTGTTAAGTTGATTTAGTGGGCAAAAAATACAAAACAGCCAGTCTAGAAAAGTAAGGGCTTGAGATACCTTAAAAGTATGATGTAGAACTGCTAAAAAATACTGCTTTTGTTACAATTTATAAGACAGATGGAAGTACAAATCAATGTTTGTTAAGAGGCTCTATCTTTTTAAGCCCTAGATAAGTGAGACTCTCATCAAATCACTTATCATGCCACATTTCGACTATTGCGACTTTCTTCTGACCAACATGACATTAATCTACAACGTAAACTACAAGTAGCCCAGAACGCATGCGTACGTTTTATTTTTGATCTACGAAAATACGACCATGTATCCAGAATTTTTGACAGAATTCGTCTGCTTACTCTAGACAAATACGGTTACTACACTCTCTACTTCTTCTTTATAATTTTAACTGTTCTCATGCAAACGCCTCATAAGTAACTTCAATCCTCTGAAACTAAATCGATGCTCGTGAATCAGTCCTGCTTGTGTGTACACGTCCACAAACACGACTTCATTCGGTAAATCATTCACCATTACAGCTATTCCGAGCCTTGAATAAAAATTACCAGCGAGACTAAAGCTTTAAATACTTTCGGAAAAATTCAAAGCTGAATTAACCACATGGGTAAGGAATAACGGCATTTAGAACGGCGTCAACGTCTTTTCAATCTCCAGACTTCTCCCACTTCCAAGCGCCCGTCATCGCCCGTTAAAAGCCTTCTATTTCCCCTCTTTATTTCAATATTCTACCCATACCTCATTGCTCTATCCTCATCTTTCATTCCTCTCACATCTAAATTATGAGCATCATTACTTTTCTGTGTACCCTAATGAAATTGTTATTAAAATATACAAAAGTATTATGTGACGTTCAGATAAAATATACTTGTAGCTTCTTTGTACATCATCAGGATATTCACTACAATATATTGGCATAAACAAAATTGATGTTAAGATACCCGCACTCTTTGTATTGTTCCTTATACTGCAGTATTGTGTTTAAAATTACTGTTGTTATAGCTTATAGTGTATGTGCTTCTCTGGTGTAAAAATTATTGTATATTTTTGTTAAAGTGTACTGCTAAACTAACGTAGCTTTCTGTAACGTTCCTCAAATAACTTCACTTTCTTCTGGCCTACTTCTTCTTCCGTCCTTTTCTCTTCGCTGTTTTTCTCTTCCTCTCCTTCCACAAACTTTATCATTGTTATACTTTTTTTGACCGCCTTTCCCTGTACGCTTTTCTTTTCTCTTTTCACGAAACTCCCTTTCACTACTCATTATAGACATACTCAGTTTCTATGATGTTCGGCCCTAAGCCACCATCCTGATTGAGGTTTTTCTGGGTTTCTCCAATCGCTTAAGCGTATGCCGGGATGGTCCCTAGGGTTTGTTCCAGACTTAATGTACAGCTTGTCCTCTCCCTCTTAAATAAGTGTTTACTAAATTCTAAATGTATGTAAATTCAGCTGGTTAGGCGCGGCGCGGGGCCGGAAGAGCAGGCCCCTATGGCCTGAAGCCTGCGCCGTTAATTAAAGACATTATTGTTATTATTATTTATTATTATAAGTGCTATTTTTATCCGTTCTCAACTTTTTGAGGTTGAAATCAATGTTTAATTATAATGGAATAATTGTAATTTGTTGAGATACTTCTTATACAATATGAAATGTCATTTACACAAAAAAAGAGGGAATTGGATTGTTATTTTTTGGCTCCAAGCGTTAAATTTTGCTGCCTGGCTCTATTTTTTTGTTGCCACTGTTTTCTCTGAAAGAAGATAAAGAAAAAACACATTCTCACCTAGTATTAATGCTGTAATGTTTATGTTCCAACTTTCAGTAACTGAACATTTTTGTCCAATGATGTTAAACTATATGGTGGGTGAAGTATTGTGGTTGGCTTTTATCAAAGCATAAATTGTATTTTTCAGGCAATAAGGAGTTAATTACTTTTGCAGGTGAATGTGATGCACAGCGTCCACTGTTGTATTTGTCCAGATATTGTGGTGGCCTACCCCATCTCGGGCACTTGAACATCTGAAAGCTAAAAATCTCAAGCTGAAGGAGTCTCTGAAATTCTTGTTAATTGATGAAGCAGACTCATTTTCTCATTTGGTTTGAAATGAAATAAGAGAGATAGTTAGCTAACTATACAATTTATCTAAAGACATGAATGATATCGTCAAATGGGCTTACCTTTGCATTAATTTTATCAGTAACATTATATTTTCCCTGAGATAAAAATTACGTAACCGTATTCTGTTGTCAGAAAGTATGGACTTCATTAAATTTCTGTATATACATAACTATAATTTTTGTTAAATATTTTATTTTGTGTGCTAAAGTAGGAAAATGCAAAAGTGGCCATTTCTACTGTGAAAAGAATGTTTTTACACAAGCATGCTTGCTCTTTTGAGAAGTCACTAGGCGACCACTACAGAGTCCAACACATTTTCGTGAGATTAACTTGACATTAGACAGGCACAAAACATCCTCTAGCAAATTTTGAGGCTGTAAACATATAAGGACCAAAAGAATGAAAGGAATGTAATCTGTTGATTGTGTATCTTTTCCTGATAACAGAAACATTATTGTAAAAAATTGTTTTCCTAATTTTAAAATACATTTCATAGAGCGTAAGTGGCATACAAATCAACAACCATACCACCTTGGTACCAGTGTAGAATTATTTAAGTAATTGTTAAAAGGACTCCCAAGATTTCTCATGTAACCCTAGTTTGTTTTTAGTGGTCCATCGAATTTATCAAATTGAAACTTGAGCCAATGTAATTCCTAATGTGTGAAGAAGTTATTGTATTTAAAAACTAAATTGTAATTTATTTTTTGATTTTACAGGTATTTACCAATCTGTGTATCAAGCAGCATTGGCAAGTGGCACTTTGTCAGAGGATGTACTGAAACTTAAAACGCTTAGTATTGCACAACCCAGTAACATTGAAAGCTGAATGAAGCTCAAGCTAGCCCCACCAGAACAACTACACACTTATGCCCTTACAAGCAGCAGAGCAAGATAAAGCAGCTTTATTTTGCACAATGCTGAAGTTACAGTTGTTCGAGGAAAAAACTATAATCTTTGTGAATACCGTGGAAAAATTTACAGTGAGTTTGAACCAATTGTTTCTAATTGCATTGTGATAAAAACTTTGAAATGAATATTTTGTGGAATACATCACTTGTAGTTAAATTGAGAAAACATATTGTTACTTCAAAATTTCCATTTATCATTTGAATATGCTTCTTTGTATCTGATCAGAATTTCAGAGTTAAATCTTTCATTTACTCATGCTGGCAAAATGCGGAACATATGCATTGAATTTTTAAATTGAAGGGCTCAGCTATGACACAAAGGCTATCCCACCTTTTGGTGAATTGAGTTAATTAGCATTAAATAAAACTTCAAGTGTTATATTTTAGTGTAATACTGTAATTGTTGAAGTAATGTACATGATTGTCATTGACACAAAAAGAAATTATTTATGCACATAGCGTTTATAAAATGCCATACATTTCCAATTCCTAATATAAACTATAAATATATATGAGTTAAAATTGCAGGATGCATTCTAAAGAGTATCTACGGAAGTTATAGTTTTTCTTTGTAGATAAAGACCTGTATTACATATTTATATGATACAATCAGATTTCATGTATTATAAGTTTCACTATCTCATAAAGCTTATAAAAAAAAAGGATTCAGAGATGCACAGACCATTTCAATAAAGTTCAGATCCTGTTAGAGGTTATTCAGTTTTCAATTAGTTCAGTTTTAATGTATAGCTTCGATAGTACTACTTGCAAAAAATTCTTTTTTCTAAGGCATATGTTTTTCCTATTGTGATTAATGATTTATGCTACTGTGACAATGGAGTGCCCAGCTTGCAAATGAGTGTTTTAATTCTCTAATGAAGAAATGTTTTGTTTGTTACAGGTTGCAAAATTGTTTTGGAAACAGTTTGGTATACGCACATGTGTTCTAAATCAGAGCTTCAGCTATGTCGGCGTGTCATTCTGTCAACAATTCAATGGAGGCATGTATTGATATCATTATTGCCTCTGATGAACACGCTTGTAGAAACAGAGTACGCAGTGAATAACAAAAGAAATTGTGAGTATTGTCTGATTAATGCAATCACATTCCAATTTGGGATAAATAGGAACATTGATCTAACTTCTTTCTGTGTAAATGCATTCACTAGTTCATTAATGTTTAAATTCTATTACATTGTTAAAAATTCTGTCTTTGAAACTGTCATGCTTAATAATGAAATTTGCAACAATTGATTGGGCTCTTATCTCTTATCATGTTTTATGTGAAAGCTACTGACTTCCACAAGAACATGGAGAATGACAACGTAAACCCATATACAAAATACTATAATAAATAATATTTGGCTGCATTAAGCGTGTTGTTTATTGTTAATGTACCACTTTAATCTTTATATGTAGTAGGGTAACCTTTACATTTAATTACCTCTTGTAAATGTTGTGGCATATTTAATAGAATTGTTTCAGTATCATTTGAATGTTTATGGTATTTCCATTTCTTCCTTGAGCATTTTCATCAACTCTTCTTTTGAAATCATTAGTGTTTTCCAAACTTTTCTGCAAAGAATTTCCCAAATTTCCTCAACTGTTTTTAGAACAGGGGATTGAGGAGTATCCAAATCCTTTGAACAATTATAGGCCAACCACTCTTGTACTCCAAGAGTTTTGTGCTTGGGGTCATTATCTTGGTAAAATTGAAAGTCTGTCATCTCTCCTAATTTTCAGCACTTCTGTAAATATTTTGTTGAGAAGTATAGTCTAGTAATATTCCTTTATAATCGCTTTAATAAATGTCTTTTGATGTACACCAGCTTCTGACTTACATTTCAATACCATGATGGTGAATTGAATTGATGCCTTATTGTACATGGCGAGACCCAGGCCATTAGGCCCACTCTTCTGTCTGACCACGCAAATTTTGCTACATTCCTTTCACCCACTAACGGAAAAAGGAGGTATTTCTTGGGCGACAAAACATGAGATTTGAATTTAGCTCAGAGGCTTCATTTACCCTTGAGGATCTTTTACATGCCTATACAACTATTATCATGGGATAACCGGCTTTACATCCCCTCCGAAGGATTAAGGATTTTTTTCATTTTTTTAATTCACGGCTCTGATCAGTTTTGAACCTGTGAACTTGGGTATTAACAGTCTGATGCACTAATTGTCATCATCACTGCAAGGTGCCCCCATCATGCTTTACTGGAGGCTGCAGATCTTTTTGTCGAGTTCTGCAGCTTGCTACCTTCTGATGCTTTCTGAAAATACTTTTTCGTGAACTAAATCATTTTCTCCAGTTTACTTTACTCAGTTTTTCTCAGGCTACTCTTTCTGGCACACTTCTTAAAACTCCTTGCACAGTTTCAAGATGAACGTTCTTCCAGACCTTGGAACAGTTTCAAAATTACCTCAAAAATGGCTCCAAATTTTTTCTTTCAGTTTGTAGTAAGAATTGAGTAAAATACGCTTGTCAAGATGCTCCAGGCCTGATTTTCACTGTTATCTCTGAATTTTCAATAATTACAAAAGTTTGAATTCTTTTTGGTGTCTTCCTAAAACTACAAAATTGAGGATGGAGATTTTTCCTTCCAATGAAATTTGTTCTCCATAATTAGTTCTTTCATTAAGGTCATAAACATTATGACTCATTTTGACCAGCCAAAAATGCAGTGGTAATCTGGTAATCATTTTATGGGGAAAAATTGTAATTGACTTACCATCCCCCCCCCCTCCCCAATTTATTTTGTCAGGAAAAAAAGAACGTTTCATCACAAATTTGGTAATAAAAATGCTCATAGTTATGAATAATTTTAATAACCAAGGATGAAAAATTTTTGTGCAATTTTTCTGTTGCTTGACATCTGTAGATAGTGTTAAAAAATATTAGATGAATCTTTGTTTGTCTAATATTGTTAAAAAATTGAATTATTTTTAGATAAAAAGAATGTTCCAGAAATAATCCCCCAATTTTTTTTTTTTCCTTCTTCTTCTTCCTTCCCCTCCCCCCCTTTTTTTTTAATAACATGCTCAATCCGAATCTATATGCATGATTTCCAAACCCTCAATATTTTATTGACCATTTTGACAAACTTCAAAGGTTACATATGGATTGAACATTACTAAGTTTGCTTCAATTACACACTTTCAATTTAGTTTCCTATTTTGCAGGAATTTAAATAATTTGTAATCTACACATTAATGCTAAGCTGTATATATTATTTTGGTAGGTTATTGATTGCTTATTTGTTTCTAGGAAACGAAAGAAAGATAAGGAATCTGGAGTGTCAAGAGGTATCGACTTCCAATTTGTCTCTAATGTATTGAACTTTGATTTTCCTCTGGATGTAAACTCTTATATTCACAGAGTTGGCCGCACTGCCAGAGGAAATAACTCTGTAAGTATTCATGATAATATAAGAATCATGATCAGTCAGTAGTGTTGACAGATAGGTATTTTTCTCTCCACATTCTGAGACTTTTTAAGTGCTGACATACTGAATAGTGTTCACTTCGTTAGGAATTTTGGGCAGGAGTCGTGCTGCTGTTGGATTAATAAATTGTTAACGGTTCAGGAACTGGGGCAGTTCACTGATGAATGGGAACACTATAATATGTCTGTATAATAATATTTCTGTATAAATGTTGATAACAAGTGTTGAATGAGGGCTAGAAAGATGCAAATAGAATAGAGATTACAGAATGTAGGTTTTCATTTGATTAATTTTTTATTTAAACTTGAAAGTGTCTTACGCACAGGACAGTGTCCTCAGCAATATATAAAATTATGTTTATTTTGTATTTTCTTAAGCCTGAATAAAGTATTGTATTGTATAAAAGCAGAAAAAACTTCGACATTGCAAACCAGGCATCGCAGGGCACTTCAGATTGGTATTAACAAATTAAAGCGTCTCTTCAATAAAAATTGTAAATTTGATTATATACCATATTTACCCGAATATGAGACAAATCATGTTTTTACACCTTGAAATTCGGAGAAAAAATACACCCCGAATACATCCAGACTGTTGCTTACACAGCACTTTTTGAAACCTTTTATGATGCATTGAGTTGATATAGTATTCCATGCAGTTAGAATCCACTAACCATGCTGTTAAACTGAAGGTTTTTTTGATGTCAGGAGTTAATGGTCGTTCCGTGATAACAACCACTCTTCATATTGGCATCTGAGTTGGTGTTTGAAAGTTAATGGTCTGTTTCGTGATAACAACCACTCTTCATATTGGCATCTGGGTTGGTGTTTGAAATATTTGTTCACAATCACATCAAGGACTTGCAACTATGAGGTCATGCCTCTTGGTATCACTACTACATCTATTTTCAAACTAGCAACTTTCTTATTCACTTCTTTAAGGTGGCCCTTTAAGCCATCAAGGGTTAACAATCCTCTCTGCTATAATAGGACTCCTGGTAACTTCTTGAAGCCAAGAAGTCGTTAAGCTTTCAGTCATCCACCCAGATCCATTGCATTTAAAAATTATTACACTTGGTAGTTTTTCTTAGGGCAAATTCTTCCTTTTCAAGATAACAAATGGTGGTAGCTTCCTGCCATCTGCCAACACTCCCAGCATGACTAACATGCATTTTTTCGTTTCCAGATGTTTTTATCATAACTGAATTTACACCCTTTTGTAGCTACTGTATTGCTAGGTGACATGTCAAAGTACATAGGGGTCTCATCAGCATTTCCCATTTGACTCAACAAATGGTTGTGTTGATAGTGCAATTGTATAATGTACTTTTGGTTCTCCAAAAGTTTTTCTTCATAATCTGCAGGCAGCTTCTGCGATAGGGAAGTTCTTCTACGCAGACTGAACCCTTTCCTTTTCATAAACTGTATACACCAGCCGACGCTCGCATTGAATTCCTGTCTGGAAATTTTTCTCCTTGCTACTGCTAATACTCTCTTTTGAATGCTGTTCATAGAAACTCTGAAACCCTTGTTACGATTTATTACGAATTCGACGACTTCATCATCGATTTCGGGATGGCGTCCCACTTGTGGTCCATGGAAACATTTTCTTGTGGAATTACAAGATTTCAGGCGTTCCTTCATACCTCTCCAACGCCGTACGTTTGCTTCACATATTGCATAATGTTGTGCAGCTTCACTATTGTTCGTTTGTTCAGCAAGATGAATCACTCGCAATTTAAAGTCTTAACTTTTACGTCATTCCACATTTCTGGAAAGTTCTACACTTCCTCTTTCCTCCACGTGGTCAGCCATTGCCACACTATGTATCAGCACACAGTTACACAACACAACTACTAAAGTCACAGTACTCTACGACGCGGATGGGGAAGGAAAGCGAGTCTCTCTCTCGTTGGCCATGAGGGAGGCGTTGGCGACGTCCCAGCTGTTACAACACTGCTAACTGTCATTAAGAAATACTTAAATTTTATCTAACGCTTCTTCTGTGTAACGGCTGGGGAAATTATTCTACATCTTATTACTTCAATTATAAACGCATCCAATAATAATAAAAAGAGGAATTTCTATTACAAATGACTTTTCTTTGTGAAGATAACTTGTATTATACCAGGAATAACATAATACCATTGATATTGCGTTTTCTTCATACGCGAGTATAAGACGACCCCCCGATTTTTAAAGAATGAAAATGGGGGGGGAAATCCTCATCTTATATTCGGGTAAATACACACCTACCCATGTAAAGAAATTGTAGTTTTTGGTGTTATAAATCATACATTATAAATCTCAGGCAATACCATGTACAACAGCTATTAAGTAGATGATTGTGATCAATGCCCGAGCAATGCCAGGATTCTTAAGCTAGTATAGTATAGTACAGACATATATAGATGTAGACATCATTACAATTTTGCCAAGTCTTTTATTCTCTTTTCCTCATTGTACGTACCTCAGTCTACTTCTAGTTACATGTGTTTCAGGGTACAGCATTGTCATTTGTTAGTATGAGAGAAATGCCTTTAATGAAGAAAGTAGAAGCTGCTTTACAGCCCTTGGATGCAGAGGAAAGTTTTTTCAAGTGAGTGTTTGAAAATTGTAATTTTATAAGGCTGAAGTAATGTAGAATTTATTTACAATAATAATCAGATAGAATTTTATATTCACAATTTTTAAGTGTAAAGTAAAAATAATTAATTAATTTCAATGTATCTAATATCGTGGACCATGTTACAATTAATGTAGCTCACAGGAAAGGAATTTGGTAGGTTTCAAAACACCATTAATTGATAGGCAATGTTTATAAATTGGAATGTATGTGGTTCATTAGAGAACACTTTATTATCTTTATAATAAGATTTCACATGCACATATAGTTGTTGCTGCACATGTTTCAAAGTTAAAAATTATCTTCAAATATTTTTAAAATTATTTTTTGTTTTTGTTATGAAACCAACATATTGAATCTTTAAATCAATGTTTAAGGTGAGCTATGTAAAAGTGAAGTCTTTATGAAAGACTCTCACCCAAATAGTACACTTAGTGGATGTAGATGTTACTAGTAAATGTTACTGACTGATGCTGCCATTTGTCAGATGCCTGTGTTGCACTTCAAATGTTTCACTAAATCGGGGTTTGTTCAGCTATCCCAAATGCATGTGTTGTCAACAGAGAGCAGTGATGTCCTCGTTTCCCAGTTGTCTATTTGTGATTTTTTTCCTTTGGGTCTACTTAAAGGAGAGAGATTATGTATCTAATCCCCACAACACTGGAACTAAAGGGAAACATTGAATGACAAATGAACGCAATTGAAACAAAGATTTGCGTCAGATTAATTTCCTTACGATCAGTCATGTAGAAAAATGCATTGATGCATAGTGTGGTCATTTTGAACATCTTTTGTAACAGTAAGGTAGATAAAAGCAACTTATGTTTTATGCTTTTCTTATTTAATTTAACAGTAACATTCATAAATTTTCATTTCAACTTAATCTGCAGTGGTTGCATAATGGGTTTGATTTTATGATACTCACGCCATGTGAGCATTTTCAGTTTACTTAAGGAGTTTAATTCAATGGGAAGTCAGTGTTGTTAGTAAAAGTGTTTTAGTAATTTTATTTGATATTTTTTAAATAAATTATGGTTATTAGTCTTGTTTTCTTTTTAGGGCATATGAGTTTAAAATGGAAGAAGTAGAAGGTTTTCGCTATCGTAGTAAAGATGCATGGCGAGCTGTGACACGTGTTGCAGTGAGAGAAGCTCGCCTAAAGGAAATCAAGCAGGAGATAATGAACTCTCAAGTTCTCAAAGTAAGTATTTTTGTCTAAGAAGAGGAAAACTGTCTTATGATTTCTTGGCTACATTTCTAGTTGCCTCTGCTGAAGACTGACCTCCATTTCCCTCTATGCTGGTTATATGACGAACATATCTTCACTGCCATTATTTTTCTCATATAAGAGCTTACAACTGGTTACAGTGATGTCATTTAAGCTGAGGCAAGCATTTTAGTGAATGAACTACTCAAATGTTTTCTGGCTGTTGGAGAATGTTAAAACATTGAATATATAAGGTATATAATGGTTGTTTGTATGTCCCAGACCGGTGAACTTGAACACCTTGTAACTGATTGATAATCATAAAAGTTGCCACATTACTTGTTTTTCATGGAGCAGGTTTTTGTGGTGTTCATTTTATTGTGAGACAGACAGAGAGCAGGAGCGTGTCTGCTGGGCTCCATGAGTCTCATATATATCCTGGGACACCAGTGCAACTGGACACTACAAGCCTTCAGCGACATTGAAACAAACTATATTTGAGAACATGTGAATTAATGGAGATAGATTTTAATTATTTCAAAATCACTGAGGCTATTATCAATGAACTTCCTCTTTGTGTTGTGTTCTGAGCAGAGGCATAATGTTCGGGCACAGGTAAAAGAGGGCCTATTTGCAGGCTGATTGTTTGCCATTGTAGGAATTGCAAGCGTAAGGGTTTGTGATTGTCTATGTCAGGGCTGCTCAAGCAGAGTGACTTGAGAGTGCAGGGCCACGTCGGCTACCGAGAGCACGACACCAGGACTGCAGTGTTGCGTAGCTTGCCATAATTTTTGTCACAGTGTCCTGATAACTCCAAGTCGTGGAAACATGGAAGTCGACGCAAGCACTTCGCAAAACAGCATCTACACAAACAATTTTCAATGGAACATGGGAAGAAAAGTATAGCGGTGTAAAATATTGCATAGTATTAAAGAGTGGCAGCTATGCCAAATGTTTAGTTACAGTTAACCATTCTGCTGAATATAAAATGTAATCTGAAGCAGAACATAAGGAAGGTTGCAGTGCTATGAAAAATAATGCGTCTCATGAACTTCTTTTCGAATATATTTTGATGTTCCTATGTTGATTTAACAGCAATATAACAAAATTAAAAGAGTTTAATTTTATTTATGTCTCTTTGGGAAAGAAGAACCTCTCATTCTTTTCAAAATTTGCTTCAGTGTCAAACGTTCATGAAACGTTCGAATTTTGGAGTTTGAATACATATATATAGAACATTGCATTCAGGATTTGAAACCCAATGTAAGAGCTTGTTTGATTTACAATTAGAATTTAATATATTTGCTACACCTTTTTTCTCTTGATGTCGACTCTGTTTGTTGTGATTTTCAGTTAATGTTTGATTTGCAGTGGATTAAGAGAAATATTTCAAACACAAGAAACGTTTATGAAAATTTTATGAGTACGTCCCACAAAAACATTTTTCAAAACTTCATCAGAATGCTGCTCAAATGTTAAGTACTGTGTTTGAATCAACATACAATTGTGAACGGTATTTTATCTTTGAAAATTTTTAAATCTCAAATGAGAAGTACCATAACAAATCAGTGTGTAAAGGAATGAAGAAAAATAATTCATTTGTCAATTCACTTCATTTTTTATTTCCTTTACTGTGTGTATTTCCATTATTAGTTTATTTAATAACATTTTGCGGTAATCTTTAGAATACTTTTCTTAATCAGCAGGCTGATAAACTGTAATATCTCTGCAATTAAATTTCTTAATATGATTATATATGAGCATTATTTTGCTACTAAAAATGTGGCATATCTGGTGCAATCTGAAAAAGAAACCTTTTTTTTCCATGCTGCATTGTAAATTGTCTTTTTTTTATTTTCAAATCACAAAAATATATGTATAATTAGTAAATGTTACAAAAATATTTTACTGTTCTTCTGTTGTAATGTTCTTTCCCAGAGCAGTGTGACGTTTTCAGTCCGAATAATGGAAAATCCCCCAAAAAATAAGGCATAACCCCCTGTCCCGCAAGACATTGATCGATACAATATGACGTAATGTGCACGTCTGTTGATAGAGCTGCTAGAAGGAGTTGGGGGCCTGCACTCTTTTTGTTACATTACTGGTGCAGGGGACTTGGCTCTTTTGAGATTTATGCATACATTTATAGGACTATAAGTAAAAGCCATGGTATTGAGTGCACTATAAATACTGCTTAATAGAACATGTCATGTAATATATTGCTTAATGTTGCAAAAAAGTGTTTATTTGTATTTAGTATATTGTTCTAATGCAACTCTGCCATCTTGATTTAAAAAGGTTTCACCATTTCTTTGCATTTCACAAGCATTTATTTTCTTTCAAGTACTGTGCATTACTATTATAAATGCTTTTTCATCATTGAAAATTGTAAGTACAAGTGAATTCAATAATTCATGTTTGAATTACAGGGTTACTTTGAGGATAATCCGAATGACTATAATACTCTCCGGCATGACAAGGCATTGCACACAGTGCGCTTACAGCAACATCTTACAAATGTGCCTGAGTATTTGGTACCTAATGAATTGAAACAGCTTACCAACACATCTACTCGGAAACGAACAGCAAGGGATCCTGTTATTCATTTAACACACACAAAAAAGAAATTTCAGGTATGAAATTTGCCTATTTCTAGCATTATTATTACTCCAAAATATGTGTTAATCTTGATACATTTTGACATGCTACATTGATATTAATATTCACATTGTAGTAAACTATACAATTATGATTCATGTTAATGTTTAAGGAGCAAAGTCATTTCGATTTTTCTCAATATATTGAAATTTTATCTCTTAAACACTATCAGCATGGTTGATGGTTAAATTTACAGTGCAGCTTTTAATACTCCAATTACTTTTTTTCTTTAGGTTGAAATGTCCTGACTGAAAACTTGTTCTATATTCATTATGACTAATAGTATTGAACAATTGAGATTTATTTTGTTATCTTGCAGTTTGTTTGTTTGTTCACAGAGAAATAAGGCCAATCCGTTAATGAGCTTTGAATTCAAGGGTTTCAAGAACGATAAACAGCGGAAAGATCAAACAAAGCCACACAAATCAAAGAAAAAAAAAGACATAGAATTTATAGATGAATGATCATTCTCTCCTTTTTATCATGTATCAAAGACATGAATATAAGTTTAAAAATACTTTTACTTTGTTAAATGCACCACGTTTTATTATTTATGAACCAATCTTCTATACCACAGTAGATTTTAGAAATTCAATTCCTTGTTGATATTACAATATTAGTATTGCTATATGTGTTATGTAAATAATAATCATCAGTGAAACAACTACAGCACATCAACAAAGTACCTTGAATTGAAACAGGCTAGTTTTCTCTGAGTGGATCAGCTGTGGATGATGACTGTAGAATAACAGTAGTAATAAAGAAAGTTATAATGATGAAAATGAGAATTACACTAATTGGTCTGTTCTGGGCTCTGCCGAAGTCTTTGTTACTTGCCTCAAAGTTTATGAACATTCACTCCAGACGCACTCAGCAGAAAGAAATGGTTCCTTCCCACATCTCTTCTTTTCTAACCTTATTAATCTAACTATATCCCTGTGCTAAGCTATCCACTACCAAATATTCTAATATTTCAATCTTTCCAAGGACAAATATTTTTCCTCGTTGGGTGGATTCAGAAATTTATTTGGTCAAGGAGTGGTGATCTGCTCCCTAAGGAAAACTTGCATGAATTATTATCAGTGTTTTCAATTACATATTTATATTGAGAAACATAGGAGATGGAATTTATGAGAATGATGAACTATTTCCATTTGAAATACAATGCAGTTGTTCACCATTTATTGCAGTATACTTACTACAGTCATTTTTTTTTAACTTTTGTGGGGACCAAAGGGGAAAAACGTTAAATGCAGGTAAGTTTCAAAACAACAGGCTAGGTTAGTACTTACGTTATTTACTGCAATGGTGTTTTTACTTTCTCGCCCTTTCTTTAAAAGACCAGAAAGCATTATAATCATGTGCCAGAAAAACTGTTCAAAATGTTTAAAACAACTCAAGGATACAACTTAACTTCATCAACTTAAGGATAACAAATAGTTTTTTCAAATATAAAGAAAACCACAAATTCACTTGGGAGGCAAGAGATAACAAGATCTATCCTAGACTATGTAATAGTCAGCAGAAACATATTTAAATATGTCAAGAACACTAAAGTATTTCGAGGTTGTAAAATAGACACAGCCCATTATTTGGTTGAGAGCAAAATTAAACTCGTATTACAAGAAACAAAAACTGAGGAAAACTGTAATAAAACACTCCTTGAAGATATTCCTTCTAGAAGATGAATATATCAGAACTCTACATGAAAAAAGACTGAAAGAAAAACTAAAGAAGGTGGAGAAACAAAATATTGAGACATTTTGGAGTTCACTTAAACTATGATTGAAGCAGGAAAGAGTGTGTAAACCATTCAAGAAAATGAAATGGTTGAGAACATGCAACAATGATCTAAAAGAGGTGATAAATTAAAAGAAAACATACAGAATCTACTTCCTAAAACAAACAGTGGAAAACTACATGGAACATGAAAGATTATGGGCCAAAGTGACATGTGTCAGTTGATTACAGGAGAGAGGATGACAAAATTTGTTAAAACAATTGAAAGAGCAGAGGTTACATAGGGTCCTCAACGAATGGGTTTCATAGGTTTGAAACTGCTGCACATGAATGTGAAAGATAAAATCAGAGGAAATGTCATACCCGAAGAAGAGTGGATAAAACACTACCATACCCTAAGAACTAATGAAGTGCTGGAAGAAAAAAACCAAATCTCTGACAATGAACTAGACAACTTACTGAATATAGAAGAAATTGAGGCAGTATTAAGAAAAGTAAAAAATTGGAAAAGCCCTGGACCAGATGAGGTCAACATAGAACTCATAAGATATGGAGGAAAGGAGCTGAAAGAAATGTTATTAGAACTTTTTAATGAAGTATGGCAAGAGAAAACAATGCCAATAGAGTGGCAAAAGGGTTTGGTTATTAACATTCACAAGAAGGGCTCAAAGAAGAATGTAACAATTATAGAAGTATTACGTTGTTATTAACAGCTTGATGTTTCAGATTTATTTAGTTAAAAATCAGTAAACACTGTATGTGACGTATGAGGAAGAAGATCATCTACACACATTTTCCTAAGTTCCAGAACCCCCTTCCCATGTTTTTAACTATAAATAGTTAAAGATAAATAAATAAGTACAAATAAAATTTAAAAAGCAAGAAATTAGCAACATTTGAAAAACTATACATTTTTGTTCCTGAGCTATACAAAACTTATTTGCAATGGTTGCAACATGATTTGATTTTTCTGCATTGCTAACAAAATAGTAACTCACCCTGACCTCTACTCCTACCACTACAAGCAAAAGAAGAGTTCAACAAAACGTGGGCATAGTGAAGCTACATTTATGTCCAGAAGCAAAACAAGGGGCCATCTCAGCATTTGCTCAATGTATCAGGGAAACTGGGGGGAAAAACTGATCGAGATGGAGGTCATTGACCCAGAAGCTGAAGTACATTATTTGTTACAAGCATATTCAGTCTTTTTAAAAGAAATTATACAATACTAATGAAAATTAATTCATTATATATCACTATTTTGTTAAAATAAAGATTATTTTTCTGTTTATTGATCAGTATAGTCTCTAATTGTATAGAAACAGTTACGCATCAGAAAAGATTTACTTTTAAATTAAATCTGTGTACTGACTTCAATTGCTTATTGTCATCTAGCAATGTGTTGTAAAGTGTATGTTTTGTAGTTACATGTATGGTATGTGGATTTCTGGTAGTGAGCTGTTGATACTGACACTTGATGAGCATGATTTCTACATGTGTTGTAATCATAAATATCCATATTCAATGAAAATATGTTCCCACTGTTGTAAGTCAATTTTGACAAATATTGCTGATTCGTAAATAAATAGGTAAGGCTATGGTAAGATTTCAAGCGCTATGAAGAGAGGCTGGAGGGATTATGCAATGTCATTATTTTCATTATTCGAGTAATTTTATTTTCCAATCTAAAGATCTGGATACTACACAATGAGCTTCCCCAGAAAATTATGCCATATCTCAGGCAGGTATGAACATTTGCAAAATGCACGTAACGAGCTGCATGAAGGCTAACAGAATTGGAATGAATAAACATAATGAACTTAATTTAGGGTTTAATTTTGTTATATGTACATTCCATTTGAAGTTCAGCTGAATTGAGAGACCTAAAAATTTTGTTACCTTAACATCAGTCAATTGCATTTTGTTCGTTATCAATGCAGCATCTGATTGCTGATTTCAAATGCAAAAATATATTGAAACTGTTTTTCCTTCGTTAACTATTAATTTGTTATTACAAAATCATTTTGAAATATCTGAAATCGTTATATTTATTGTTTTTTTGCCAAGAACTTTCGTGTCATAGACAAACAGAACTGTTCTTTCGTTTTTAATACACGAGGGCATATCGTTTACGTAGTATATGTAACAGAAAGATGATAGGACCCAAAGAGTATATATCTAAGATCGAACCTCGCGGGACCCCATATTCAATTGGTAAAGAATAGGTAAGATAAGTAAATAATGCCCTTTGGTCCCATTCCAGTATTTCTACTCTTTGAGATCAATGTTTAAGATACGAAGTTATCAAATCTAGGGCGATATCGGGAATTCCATTATTTTGATAGGAAGATGTTATGGTCAATAACTTAAAAAGCTTTCGAAAGATCTAAATATATTCCAATGTGCGCTTCATTTTGGTCAATTGATGAAGCAACATCTTTAAGAACACAAAAAATGGCAGTTTCTATAGATTTTGATTTTCTAAAATCGTGTTCAGAGTCTTAAACGTTTCGCTTTTCCTGAGAAAAGTTTCCATTCGCGAATTGAAAAGCCTCACTAATATTTTTGAGAAAATCGACAAAAGAGAAATTGGCCGGTAATTTTGAATTTCATCTTATTCCCTTTTTTTAAAAGTGCTGTTTTGAAAATATCTGGAAATATTCCTATGCATAAAGAAGTATTGAAAATTGATTTACTGGGTTTTAAAGGCAGGCAGGCTCAAGTGCTTATGGCAGACTTGTAACTGAGACCGAAACTTACAGAGACATGTCCCAACCTGCCTGAGCATGCTCAGCTGACCAACAATAATGTAAAATACCAAGGTAGATAACTTATTGAAAGTCCCTCGTATTTTATGCAAAATTACTCGTTTTAAAAAAAATGTGCATGTCCTTATTTTAAAATCTATCTTTAGGTAACAGATTGTATTAAGGGAAAAATCTCCATCTTCATAATTGTAGTTGTGAGACTATGAAAAAATTTGAATTTTTTGAGTTTTCGAAAAATCAGTGATTTTAACGAAAATGAGACCTGCGCCATTCTCTCAAACATCTTTTTCACTATCCAATAAAAAAGTTGAATAAAAAACGTTGAAGCCATTTTTTGAAAATGCCCCAGGGGCTTAATGTAAATTACCCCCAAAATTAAAATAACGGTTTCAAATCCAAGGGGCCTTGACATCAGCCAGATCGATTGGGAAATATCAATTTTGGAGAAAATTGGTTTGACGGTTCAGCCGCTAGCTTTGTTCACAGACGGACTGACAGCCTTTTTGTCGTCAATCGATTTTTCGGTATTAAGAACCCAGAAAACATGGATTCTATCTCCACCACATGATAGAAGACTTTTTCTAAATTTTGCAACTACTTTTTCGTTAACAGGAATTTGTAATAAATTGTCTGCCGTAAATTTGCCGTTTTCTCGAACAGCATTACATAAGAGCGGAGTAGCGTGAAAGTAAAAACAGCTGGACTGTAGAATACCACATGTCATCAGCCATTCCACTGCATGGATACAGTGTGCCCAAACCACTCCCTCTGGAAGAGTGCACTCAACTGTCAGATGTAGAAGAAGGATATGGAAGGGAGAAATCCCTTCCTCCATCTTCACTAGATAAACTTCATTTTCTACATTCTCACTTGGACCCAACCCCCAACTGCGATGCTGTGACGAACATGGAGAGCGATTCCATCGAGACATTTTGCAAATGGAACGTCCATGGGATTACTTTTGGACACTGACAAAGAAAAGGAGAACAAGGGTCGAGTTGAGAAAAGACATTCACGTGAATAAGTCCTTTTATTTGATAGTGAAACTACAAAACCATGCAGACTAAACAATATGTAATGTTACATCCATTATTTTCGACCTCAAATTAGATTATTTGGCCACATTCAGAAAATAAAGAATTACAAAGTATATTTTTCGTATTTCTACTTGAAATTAGTATATTAAAAAAACCAAAACTAACAAAATAACATTATTGTCATATTCGTTATTCTTGACCACAAATTACGGTAGTTTTGCTATTTTGAGAAAGAAAAGAATTCCAAAGTGCATGTTTGTTAAACAGTATAATCCGCAACATAGATCTATTTTCTAATTTCTTCTATTTATCCTATCTAATTTCGAAATTTAAAATGAAAAAATAAATACTTCCTAAATAATAATCACATTCTCCGATTCTCAACTCGTCAACAACACAACAGGCACAAGCGCTACGTGGCGTGCATATGAGTGGATATCGGAGACCTCCGTGCGAGTAAGCAATAAGCGAATTCGAAGGCCTACGAAAAACTCGCTCACGTCAACTATGGACATATTGCTGGAATAAAATTTCTGTCTACTTGACAGCTAACGGCTGACTAGGGAGAGGGGGTTCCGTAATCCAATCAGAGGCTTCAAATTCTGCTGACAATTCTCCAGAGTTGCCGATACATATTAAGAAAAAATCGAAATCGTACAGTGCGAAGCAACAGTAAACTGAAGACCGCCTTTACTTCTTTGGTTATGCATTGTGTGTGCGGTTCTATGTCGTCTACTCTTGGGTGCTCTTATCTCAGTGTGTTTTTTGCTACTTTTGTGGATTATGATCTAATCAAGAACGACCATATAGCTGCCACCCGAGTAACTGGCAACATCGCTTTTCCTTCACTCCACCTGTTTTAGTTGACAAAAATACTATACGCTCACCACAGGGCCATATATTAACGTATTACTCATTTTAAAAATAGATTAGTATTCATTTATGAAAGGGCCTTTTCTCAAATGCGAGGTAGTGCCCGGGCGTGCCTACCATGAGAGGGGCAACCGTGCGCTTGTCTCTGCAGGAACAGATGAGACACCGCATTGTGCACGGAATGAAATGACTCAAGAAATAGAATTATCTCTCTTGCCCCGATAATAAAAGTGTTCATTTTACGATTCCAGATGGATAATACTTACATTATCTTAAAATTGTAAGTCATTTTTACTTTTTTTACTATGAAATGTAATAAACTAGTACATATTCATTAGGTTAGGCAATGCCTCCCTTGCCTACCCCTAGGAGCCGCCAGTTTGCCAGGTGTCCACTATTTGACCGGACAGTCCGCGTTTTTTCCATTATGTTCTCAATTGTTTTCACAAAAAAGTGGACATTTTTAATTCAGAATGTTTATGATGATATGGTACGTAATCTGAAGCAGTACAGTCAGAAAATAAGGTCAGAATTGCGTTATGTCTTTCTTTTTCATAGACGATCGAATATCCACTGAAATCGCATCTGTCAAAAAAGTATTAATCATACTCAAGTGTTTCAGAAGACATTTAATAAAAGAATATAAAATTATTTACAATTATTTTTCTTTACTCGCATTAACCAATTATTATTATGCTATACTTTTATCTTAGTTGGATAGGTAAGTTTTGATACATTCAACAGCGTATCCTTTAAGGTTTAATGAGTACTATCCTCAATATGAAGAGCCTGAATTTGCTAAACAAAAGATTTAAGATGCATTATAAAAATAAAACTTAATCATTCTTTTCATGTAAATATATTTTGTTTTTTTCTAATTAAATCACCAAGCACGTAATATTAGGTTAATCTTTAGTAATAGACGTCAGTTGATTCAGTTACTCCCCACCGTGCTTGTCCGCAATTTTTTGGAAGGAGATTTGGCAACCTGAGAACCGCCATTGATTGTAAAACGTCCCGTTTAACAAAGTGCGAATGAAGACAAAATTCTTCTTGAGGTTTTCAATGCGTTTTATTTTCAAATTTGAGGAATGTTTGATCATATACTGGTATCAGTGATGAAATAAAATTTAGGTTGCAGAACCCAGAGACACGAAAAAATCACGCATCTTGATTCTTTGCTAAAATTAACACATTGTTAAAAAATATCGAATTGATTGAGCATTAAGCAAATCAGCCAATGTTTCTCTTGCAAAACACGATGAACAAGTTAAACAAAATCGCCTATTTTGTTCAGTATAATTGACGGTGTTTCTGAATTCAAATGATACTATATTATAGAACTGATTTGCTGTGTTTCATTTAAAAGTTACGGGATTTCCATTGTCATCTCTCCTCTTCCGTGAGAAACTCTCACGAACCGTCACTGTATTAATAGCAAACTGATATAAAATACACCAATAAAATTAATAGCAAACTGATATAAAGCGCACCAATGAAATTGTCTTCGCTGTTATTGCTTCTTTAGTGTCGTTTACTGTCTTCGAAGCTAGTTATACTCTTTGATGCTCCTACTGTGGAAGTGAAATCACATCTTGCATATTCTGTGCAGAGGCTACTGGGATTCTGTGTGGATGTTCTTTGGTGGTTCTGTCTTGCTTATTCCATGGTCGTTGGCGCCCATGCACGCTTGTACCGCTGTGCGTGATTCTTCTCCGCGTGGTCGGTGTTGACCAATTGTTGTGTGTGGTTTGATAGTTAATGTGTGTTAACAATGCTTGTATTATTTGAAACAGCGGCAGGTTATGCCATTTTTAAGGTAAGTTCTATTGTTGTATCATATTTACCACAGTTCGTATTAATGGTTGTTTTTGGTTATGAATTTCATAGCATTAAGCATTATTTAATTTTGTTTGATCTTTGCTATCTTGAATGAATTGTCGTACGTGTGTATTGAAGTAACCAACGTATATTAATGCGTATTGAAATGACGTTCATGTAAATGATTAAGTAGTACGTAAAAGCCGGTATTTTTCATGCCAATATGCACGTGTTTACAGTAGGATCTTGAGGTCAAGTAAATAGCGATCAGTTTACAGGTGCATTGTGATTACTGTTTCAGCTTCTCGACGAAAAGAAATTAGCTAAAACAGAAAATTTATATCATGACTTTCAAACCCCAGAAACCGCTAGCAAAGTGTAAGTACATCTTTATTTAATTTTGGTAATTATGATTTTAATAATATCGTACTCTGTAAAAACTGCCTTTAGCACAAAGGAGTTGGCACAATTGAGTACATAGTTAAACTATAAAAGTTATTCTTCCAAAGGTATGAATGCAAGATGTTCTTAAAATAAATTTATTTTCTTAATTTTTAGTGCTTCTTTCACAGATGCACTATTCTAGTAATTGGAATGGTAATATGTTGTCATACTTATTGGGAAATAAGTTTTGAAATTGTACTAGTTTCAGCCATACTTCTGGTAGTATGTTGTGGTTTATTTTCCCATTAAACTGTTATCAATCATTCATTCAATTTTCTAGTGAGATAAATGTGTAGAAGAGACTAATGGAAGAAATCTTTTAATTATTAACTTAGCCTGGAAGTGATTAAAGTAATGGATGAAAATTGATAGATATGTTTGGACAAAGCTTGTTGATTATTTTCTATTTATATAATTGTTATGAGCTAATGCAGTTATGTAATCATAATATTTCCATAGAATCACTATATCTGTTGCATTTGTTTTCCAGGGTTAAACTCAAACATTTTGAGAAATTTCATGACACAACTGAAGCACTTTCAGCCACAACAGCTGCAGTTGAGGGCAAGGTATACTAACCTCTTTATTTCTTTTGTGGATACGTATTTTGTATCCAGTGTAAATGATTGGAAATATGAAAATACTTCTGCCTTGGCCAATAGTTTTAGCAGTCCCTTCCAAAAGCAGTGTGATCATTTATACATATGTGTGTTTTAGGTATCAAAGTCTTTAAAGAAACTTCTGAAGAATGTTGTTGCCAAGGCAGAGGCTACAGAGCAGCTTCTGGTAGCTGATCCAAAATTGGGATTGGCTATTAAAGAAAAATTACAATTGCAATGTATCTCTAATACAGCAGTGCAGGAGTTAATGCGATGCATCCGCTGTCAAATGGATGCCCTGTTGGCTGGTTTGCCCTCAAAAGATCTGGCTGCCATGGCCCTTGGCCTTGCCCACAGGTAATAAGTTGTTTTGAGGCGTTTTGTGAAATGGAAATTTGTGAAATAAACCAAGGTTGAAGCTGTGTGGAACACCGTTAGAGAATAGTGATTGAAAGAACAGGAGATAGAAGTGCATGTGGATGTACTTCACATAAAATAATGCAAAACAATTGTTTGGTGATTATTAAAATTCGCAAATACTGCGCTAGGGTCTTTCAGTTATGTGCAATAAACTAGATTACAGTTCTTTACTGCACAAGTGGGGTATCACAAAACATTGTATGCTGCAGTCTCTTCACACACACACACGTACATACAATTTCCCCAACATTTTTACTTTTATGGCTTACAAGCTGAAATACCCTGTGTTGCTGAGGTATTATCACATTAATTTATTAGGCAGGAAGATCCATTTATTCCCACCCTGCTACGGAGCCTATATGTTTGTAATCTATTCTATGCCCACTAGGTCTTGCCCATCCTCTATCTGCCTTGCACTCAGCTGAAATTACCCTGTCTTCCTCACTTGCTTACTCACTAAAAAATGTTAATATTTTTTTAAATTGGAGTTCCCATTCCCTAACTTCACTCACTCTTTAACCAAAAATAATAAAAAAGTCTAAACTATGTAATAAAATACTTGTACTCATTATTTTTTTGGAATTTTATGTATTACAACCAATCATTTGCCACACTGTAAAAGTTATTCTTTTTCATATTTTTTTCTTCTTGCATATTTATAAAAAAAGGTTTGAAATTGATCTTTGACCCAATGCCGAGTCATTTGAAATATAAATATAGGGCTTTTAATTAAAGTCAAGTATGCGTTTTAAGATCCTTAATAAATGGTGGACTGACAGAAAGGTGACTTTAACCACTTAGCCAATTATAACATTTCCAAAAACCCGAGATTCACAGTGGATCCTGGCATGACCAAAGTTATTCTGTAATATAAAATGTTCTAATGATGCTCACAATATAGTGATGCTACATCAGCACGTATTACCATATTACTTTCTTTATTACACATTATTTGTAAGCTGCTTGCGTTATTTGCACCACATCATACAGACAAGCAAGGATAATTTCACATATTAATTGAACATCCAGAACTAAAAGCCATTCAATATATTGCATTATGAATGCACTCAAAATTACGATATCATTACCTTATGCATATATGTATATACTAAGCAGATTGTTAAATATGTAAATAAGTACGAGTGATGTTCAACAAGTTATCTACCTCGGTATTTTACGGCATTGTTGGAGAGACGAGTGTGCACAGACAGGGTGGGACATGTATTGGTATGGTTTGGCCTCAATTACAAATCAGTCTGCCTTAAGCTCTTTATGGTGCGGAAGAAAACATACTATTTCAAACATTGTGAGAAAATGAGAGGTTTTGAACACTGTCACTTCGTACTACTTAATCATCCTCCATATAGTCTAGATCAGGCTTCCAGTGACTACTTTATATACATTTATAACACATTATATATGTTGAAATGCTAATGGAGAGAAAATACATTAATTTAAGGCAGTAATGTATGTAAAGTATTAGTGCAGTAATGCAATGCATTTTTTTTTCTTCCAGTTTGTCAAGGTACAAGCTGAAATTCAGTCCTGATAAGGTTGATACAATGATTGTTCAAGCAGTGGGCTTGCTAGATGATTTGGATAAGGAATTGAATAATTATATCATGAGAACTCGAGAGTGGTATGGGTGGCATTTTCCAGAACTTGGTAAAATTTTGAATGACAATGTCTTGTATGTGAAGGTCATTAAAGTTATTGGTGAGTATTACTAGTTATTTTATTTTTGCAATTTTGTGTTAATTTTTTGTGGCCAATTTTTGAATTAATAATTTAGTTGTACACTAATATTAAACTTCTCTAAACAATGGTCATTAAAGTCATAACGGTTCACTACTCTGTTGTGTTCACATAATTATCAATGCAAGAGTTCTATGCATCCACTGTATTTCTTTTTTCTAAAATTAATATATTACCTTTACCTTCTGTAAATTAATTTATGAAGGGTGTTATTTATACAGACACAAAAAACCATCAATCATTACTCCTCTTTGTATTGTTATCTCATAACTTTAGGCACTCGAGATCATGCCTTAGAAGCTGATCTTTCCGACATTTTGTCTGAAGAGGTTGAAGCACAGGTGAAAGAAGCTGCTGAGATATCTATGGGCACAGAAATAGCTGAAGAAGACATTCTAAACATTCAGCATCTATGTGATCAGGTATGTGAAATAAAAGTGAAATGAAGATTTTTTATTATACTGGGGAATCAGTTTTAAATGATCCTTACATCAGGCAGAGCGAATTGTACTATCAAACATGTTTGTATGACAAACTCAGAAAGTACGCCTAATCCCCTCTCCCTTAATCTATCGAGAGGAGGAGAGTAGGTGATCGTCATGGCCACCAGTTCAATTAGAAATGCATGCACATGTTTAGCATTGAAAGAAAATTGTATTGACAAAAACAGAGATTCGGTTGTGTATCGTATAAAGTATTTATTTCAGATCCGCAGAACAAATGTTTGTTGTTATTGTTGTTGTACTTGAAATAATATTACTTTTAAAATAAAAGCAGTTTCAAAAAGAGTGGGCACAGTATTCAGTGCATAATAATCACTGGTGAAATTGTCAGTGAAAGATAATCGTTGGTTAACAATACTTGCTTTTCATCTCATTTATTTAACCGTAATGATAAATATTTTGGAAGTTCCCTGCAAACAAAAATAAGATAGCCGTACTTCAAGGTTTCTTTGGGGTTGATGACATTAGGTCATTGTTAGACCTCCTGCGTTATAATTTTTAACTTATTCGCGAACGCCACCTTTTTTAGAGCCCCTGGAACTAAGAAATGTGCTCACCACTTTTAAAAAGTTTATAAGGCAGGTGTAACAATGACCTAATGTCATCAGCCAATTTAAAAAAAATTGAAGTATAATAAATGAAAGAAACTAGGCATAGACACATCTTCATCTTCTGAACCCTCAGATTTGTCTTTTTTCCGAAGTATTAGATCTTGTATTGTTTCTTCTATATTTTTATTATCTTCTATAGTTTTTGAATGGGCTGTATAGAGGCACACATAAGGGGTGTAATTGAAATGAAACCAGAACTACCCCACTTTCCTTTCAGAAATCCAAAACATCTACATATAGAGGGAGACATGATTACCGGCAGTACTAAAACTGGACACTCTTTTAAGCATTTCATAACATAAACAATAAAAAGGCGGAGCCCATGATCCATCAACAATGATTTTCAGTGCCCCTACAGCCTATTGGACCATCCCCAATTAAGTGTTCTTCGAAACATTTACGTGGAAATACAAACATTGAAGGGATTGAATATCCTATAGTGTTAATTATAAAACAATTGTTAGGTTAATACCCCTTTCTGCTGGAGCTTTGTACTGTTCCTCCCACAGTTTCATCTGTGTTCCAAATGTCATAAGCGTAGAAGCCGTATTTTTGAAAACTGTGGCACACTTAACATATCAGTAGCTACCCTTAAACTACAACTTTCATATATAACTCCTAGGGCTGCTTTTTATTTTCTAAGGAAGCTTTCGCTCTTTTTATTTAGTTTACCTCTTGTAATTCCTTCCTACATTTCCTGAAATTAAAATTATTACTGTCGAACAGTATTTGGGTATGTAATGATACTGTCACAACGTACCCCTTAGAACCTGTCACAACTAGCTCGGAGTAATATGCGTTTCTTTTTTTATTTCATATTATTTTTTTGTCATTCATATAAACCAAAAAACTTAAAATTCTGGCCTCAAAAGTAAATGTTTCAATGATACTGAGTAGTTGAACATACCTCAAATTTATTGTTGCTGGGGTTCACTGCAACAATCCTATAAATTTTTACTTCACTATGAGTAAAATGCAAAACGTACCTAAATAAGTAAATCAAGCAACGGTCCCTGCAGCATCTCTTAGAGCACAATGAGGCAAAGTTTTGAAACATGCATGTAAACTATCACTAGCAGTGCTCTATTGGATCGGTCAATACACAGTCACAATTAGCGCCTTTCAGCCCTACTAATCCCGGTCACCCCTATCAGTCGAAATTTCATTTTTCAAGATTTGCCAGTGATCGATACAGTACACTTTGAAGCAAAAGCTTCTACACAATTGTTTTGTTATTTAAAACGATAAAAATATTAACATGAGCATTTCTCCTGACGTGTACGCAAGAAACCTCTCTTCGCACGTATATTTGAATGAATTAGGGCAATAGTTACTGGTTTTATTTTTACTTTATTAGCATTTGGAAATTGTTTACTAAATAGTACTGCATTTGTTACCATGAAATTATTCAAGGTTGAATTGTAGGAAAAGGCAGACTGATTTTCTGAACTTCCCATACGTCAAAAAAATTATTTGAAGTCATTTCTTGTAAACCATGATAAACTCCATCATTCAGCATGTTCCTCTGTGACAGAATATCCTCAATTACCTTCGCAATTTCACCATGAACCCAAATTGTCATTCACAACTTCTGAGTGGACCCTGAAAAGGGCCCGATGCAATGGACTGCACTGATGAGCTCCTCAGTGCAGGTTAGGGTGCCCCAAGTGCTCCTTGATATATCATGCAAATGGAACATGCATTACTTTGCACTAATGCATCTTACCAGTCAAATGGAACATGAAAGCTGCCCTGAGTGTCCACTAGTGTGACAAATGGAGGAAATGCTATTAGATTTTTAATTCAACTAACTTTCATAAAATCGAAGTTAACTTTCCACTGACCTACATCATTTCTCCAAAAATAATAAAATTAATAGGAAATAAACATTACACCTATTGTTTTATTTTCTATTATTATTATTATTGTATCTTACTAGTGTTACAAGTTGTTAAGTATGTTTTATAATTATGAAATTATGTTATAAATATATAGCTATCTCTATTAAATTAATCATTAATTTGTGGTGTTTTCCAAGACAAACTTTTGTAAATGTACATACTGATGGTACACTGGAAGTACATACTAATGGTACAGGACCAAGGGGGGGGGACTTCATTGGCTTTTCATTCAAGAGCACGAAAGAGCTCTTCTTTGGGAATTGTTGTAAGGTTAGTTAAACTTGCTACAGGTGGGTTTCCCTAAAGCAGCCAACAAGGGAGTAGGGAAAAACCAAAACATTAACCCTGGTTCTAAGGAAGGAGTAACTACTACAGTAGAGAAAGTATCATTTTGTAGGACCATTAGTTTCCGATGTGATTTTTATAAGAAATTCTCCTTACAGGTGATTGAAATATCTGGGTATCGTGCACAGCTGTTTGACTACTTGCGGTCACGAATGATGGCTATTACACCTAACCTTACAATTCTTGTTGGAGAATTGGTGGGTGCCAGGCTTATTGCTCATGCAGGTTTGTACTCATTCTCTCAATTTTCCTTCCTTTTTATCCAATCATAGGAATAATTATCTAAATTTCTTATAGCTATTTTAATAGTCTTAATATGTTCAGTTGAATTTGTTTACAAAAGTAGTAAGATATTCTGAATAGTATAAACAGTTGTTCATTAATTTATTTTCTTTCTTAGGTTCTCTTATCAACTTAGCAAAGCATCCAGCTTCTACTGTTCAGATTTTAGGTGCTGAGAAGGCCTTGTTCAGAGCCTTGAAGTCTAACAAAGAGACACCAAAGTATGGTCTTATCTACCATTCGGCTCTTGTAGGACAGACAAGTAGTAAATTGAAGGGAAAGGTGAGTTGTGTGTAAGAAATAATACAGTAAAAACCTTTCTTAAACTTTTCAGAGGGCTCATGAAAAAAATGTTAAATACAGGAAAGTGGAAAAATGATAGGCTAGGCGAGTACTTTCATTATTTACTGCAATTATGGCTCTGTTTTCACTTTCTCGCCCTTTGTAAGAAAAGGAAGTATAATAGGGTGCTGGAAGAAAGCGAATTTTACCAGAAAATCTCTTATTGACTGGCCCTAGTAATGAAAAAGGGGGTAAATCCTATTCCTATAAAGAGTAAATTACGTCTTCTAACACATACTGTATCTTGACAACATGTTTTATGAGTCTTTGAAACCACAAAATCGATTGACGGCAAACTGACTGTTGTCAACACTAGTGTATAAACTGTCGACCGATTTACTCCAAAATTGATATTCCCGGACTGATGACATAATGTAATTGGGTAATGCTGAACCTCACATTCACTTCTGTACCAAGTTTTATATGTGGCACAGATGATGGACAACAATTTGGTTTTCTGTACTCTGAAATATATAAGTGGATTCTGCAATAACTGATTTCTGTGAACACTAAAATGCATTGTCAGGCAAACTCTCAACTTCAATATTTTGCCTGAGAAGAAATTAAATTTCCATCGCGCACTAAGGCCATAGGAAGTAATGCTACATCAATCATATTGTCAAAAAAGCAAATGAAAATTATTTGCTGTCCAGAAAGCATTTAAAATTATTAAGTGACTCATTAAATATCCTTTTTAAAATGAATGTGCTTCCTATCTAATTTGTTTGGTTGAATTTGGAAGTTCTCTAAGAAATCCGGACATTACCAAAGATACAAGCTTACAATACAAAGGAACATGCGTTTGGACAAATCGTAGAGGTTTTATTATGAAAATTGTGCTTTTTTTATAGATATCAAGAATGTTGGCAGCGAAAGCAGCATTGGCAACTCGAGTGGATGCACTGGGAGAGGATGTAGGAATTGAACTTGGGGCAGAACACAAGTTGAAAATAGAAAGGAGGATAAGCATACTGGAAGAGGGCAAGTTGCATCGTATTTCTGGTACTGGAAGATCACAAGCACGATTCGAGAAACATCATACTAAGAGGTAAGTTCCTAGTATGATTGGTTTAATAAGTATATCTTTTTATATGTGAGCTGCTATAAATTGAATATCTTTGTTTTTTATATCATCCCGTATTAACGTATCGTCATTTGTGTATTAAGTAATATATTACGATCCTTCTAGTGAGGTGAGACAGTATGGTGATGCTCAAGACTTTGCTATTCCTACTAAGCGAAAAGTAGAAATTGAGGAGGTTGGCAGTGGAGAAGCAGGTAGGCTACAAAATGAAATCCCTCAAATTATGGAAGTGGCTTTTTTTTTGGACAGTTCAAGTACAACATTGCTCTAAGTAAAACATATTGTTATTAAGCAATGTCATGTGTTGTAGGACCATCTCAGCCAAAGAAGAAGAGGAAGACAGATATTGGAGAACAAGTTGTTGTTAAAGAAGAAATTAAGGAGGAGGAAGAGGATGTAACAGTTCCTAAGAAAAAGAAAAAGAAGAAGAGTTTAGGAGCAGAAGCTTCTGAAACTGTGGTGACAGAAATGGAGACCTTTGGTGAGTATTAGTTTGTTTTTGGGCCTTTGGGTTGTTTGGAGCTATATTTTTTGAGGTATTGAGGAAATTTTCTGTATGAAATTTATTCTCTCGCGTAATTTTTCATTTTCATAAATTGTCAATAACTAATTTGGGTCAGGTTGACATCATGTACCACTTCATACCTGACTTTTCTTTCTTTTTGTGTTGAATGTTAGTGCACCTTGTTTACTTTGAAAGTGAGTTATCATCAAATAGTTTGTGATTGTGTGTGATACAAAATTTTAAGTGGTAGTTTTATCTTGTACACCTAGGGAAACAGTGGTGACAATAGCATGTTTTCTGCAGCATAACTCCTAGGCTGAGAGCCAGTACTCTCGGTTGCGATAAATTTCACAGCAGTTTTGTATCAATTACTCCACAAATGCTCATGTTACATTTACTACCATCTGACTCCTTAAAAAATGTACAACATATTGAATAAAAAAGAACAGTACTTTCACTGTATTACTTCTTAAATAACTTTAAAAAAAAACTATGACTGCAGAAGTTTTTCCATAACATCCTGTACTGATTGAAACTTAACTTAAAAATTAGGCCAGTAAGGGCCTATTTTTTTTTACCATCTTGAAGAACAAATCTTGCTTTCATTCAACTGTTAGGGAGTCACTGTGATCAATCTAATGAACAAACTTTCTTAAGTGGTAACTTAAGCCTGTTAGAAAGGCTAGTACATCATTTCAATTTCTATATTCTTCATAATTACATACCATAATTTCAACTGGCTTCAAATTAACTCTGCAAGATTTATTAATTGGCCTTTTAATATTGAGTGTCTTACAAATTGTATAATATGGAGCTCATGCTAATCAGGTGGGAAATGTGGTTGTATTGCTTGCTTTCCTCTTCTAGACACACCCTTAACAGAGGTTCTTTTCATTCATGTACCACTTCATAGCTGATAATTTAGTTAAAAATTCAAAAATATCGACCATGTATCGACAAAAAAAATTCAAAAATATCGACCATGTTTCTTTCACTTTTGAGTACTACACTTTCTGAATTCTATGACAGTTGAAATGTTGGCAACTGTGTCTAGGACATGTTCTCTCCAGGACAGCCTAGTAAATGTTGACCCTGATTGTGGAAGCCCAAGTTTTCACTCTTTTCAAAGTCAATGGGTGAAAAGATAAAAAGCAGCCTTTCACTTGAGCTCGAGGAAAAGATACTCGTGACTAGACCCCAGAAGTTCAGGCATTTATTTTACCTAAAATAGGTAGGCAAAAAGGCATTTATTCTAGATAAAATTGGTGTGCTTGTGTTGATTCAACATTTTCCCTTGTGCAATTAGCCATTTTTACTGCTGACTGTACATTCATTTCACTGTCGTAAGTGAAGCTCAATTTGAAATAATAAACTTGCAATAGGTTACACAATTTCTGAGAACTTTATCACTCCCTGAAGGTTGTGTAATCAACAGACCTTAACATATTTACCTGTGATTGATAACATCTTGTAGTAACATGTGGAATTCATTCCAATTCAGAGTGAGAAATGTGAATGAGGCTGATGAAAATTGAAGTTAAAGAGTATTTGAAGTCTGAACTTATATTCTTTCATATCCCACGTGGAAATATTGACACTCTACATTGAGAAAATAAAATACCATCTTCTATGCTAACCCTTTTAGAAACCAGTTAATGCTTTGTTAGAATATCCAAGTAGACAACCTTTGACATCTATAATAAATGTGAAACAACCTTAAGCCTGTAGAACACATTTATTTTTAATGCATTTAATGCCAAATTACTTTCTCTTTTACTGCAGCCCTCTGCCTTGATTCTTTGAACTAGCATTGAATGGAGTGGTTTTGTTTGTATGATATGAAATGTGTAAGACCCTAAGAGCCAGTTGCATAAAGCTTTCCCTATAGATTCCATAGCAATGGGTTCAAAAAAATTGATAGGTTCCATAGGCTGTGCACTGTGGCATAAAGCAAATGTATGGAATCTATAACTATAAATTCTACAAGAACTTAGAGATGCAACCAATAGATAGTGACACTGTTGGTATTTGAATACCACTTATTCCTTACAGCGTTTTGCACATTCTTAGCATGTGTTGCATTCTTTTGACTTGCTTTTGGTTGCATTACTCAATACGTGTTCAGTAGCAATTTTGTTTTATTTCATTATGTTCATTAATTTTATTTTATTTAATTCTTATAGAATATTAAATTCAATTAATTTTTTATATTATTTATTGGCTATTTTTGAATTGAAATTAATTAATTTACCTTGCATTTAAATATTAATTTTTAATTTTTGCTGATACAAGTATTTATAATTAATAATGAACTACTATTCAAATCTCTTTGAAGTACAAAGTAAAAATTAATTTACTCTCGAAACAATTAAGTAGTACACATTACAAGAAGAGCCCAGAAGTTAAGGTATTGAAGTTGCCAAGTATAGGCAGGCAAAAATTATCTAAAATGTTGAGTAAAAAAAAAATTAATTAGAGGCTAATCCTTTAAATTATTCAAATTTTATTTGTAATACTGATATTAATATTAGCACTTACAAGGAAATATTTTCTTCATTGGCTCATCATCATGAAATTTTGTAATCTTCATTGGTTCTTGATTTATTGGAAAGAAATGGTTTCACAACTGAAAATCATTCTTTATGATAAACCAAATTTCAGCATTATGACTGCAAATTAAATTCACTGATGATTCTACGAAGGGTTATGTGTGGGCTATACTATTCTTTTACCTTTGAAATAGAACATGATTGAAAAACTATAATTCATTCATTGCACTCATTTATTCATCTGTACAGATACAATCTGGCTTAATTGTATCTTGTTCAAAGATGTCTGTTCCCAAAGGAGGTTGGATGCCACACGGAAGCATGGGATGGAAATTGATTGATGTTGGTTGCAGGTGTCATATAATTCAAAAAAGGAAGAAGACAAAATATTATTACAAAAATAAAATTTTCATAACCAAATTTAATCCTTACTTCGTCACAATACATGCAAAAAAATGTATGAATATAGAATTCACTGATATTCAACGCATAAAAATATACCTAAAACGCACACAACACAACAAATAAAATTCGTAAATGCTACTAAAGCACAGCACAACTAAATAAATAAAATTTGTAAAAGCCACTAAAGGGCAGCACAACACAAGGACTGCAGTACCACCAATAACCTCGAACACTAGTAAACAGCTGTTTGTAACAGTATGCAGAGACACGATGCTGCTTATTTGTTGAATCCATAAGAATTTGTAGACCTGTTTCAAGATTTATAAGTTATAGAAAGCCTGATAGGTACCATAAGTCTTATTGGTTGTTCTAGAAACATGTTTTACCGCTATGGACTATTTTATAGGACCGATAAGCTTATGGATTTCATATCGTTTGTTTATGCAACCAACCCATAGTCTGTGTTGGTCAAAACATAGTCTTGAGTTGTTGGCCTATGGTATTTTCTTAGGTAATAAGATTGAACTCCTGACTTCAACTTATATTTGTGACAGCCTCAGATGCCAGTGTGTATGCCATATGAACAAGGAGGATAACCCATATAGTTGTTGCGAAAGAAACTATTATATTATCAAGTTTCATACTATGAATTTCAAAATATATCTAGTCAATGCTGTGTTTTTCAGTCAATTTGCAGTCATTTTTAGCAGTAAGATTTGTGCTGTGTGTCATTGTTGAAGGAATTCAAATTTGTGATGATTGCATTTTTTAAACATTTATTTGAATGTTATTGTTTTCTTTTTTGCAGAAGAGAGTCCAAAAAAGAAGAAGAAGAAAATAAAGCAAGAAATAGAAGAAGAACCAGAAGAGGTTGTTTCTCAACTTGGTAAGAAAATTTAGTTTTGCTTTCAATTTTTGTTTCTTTTTTACAGTCTTTAATAAGGTGATAGATTTAGGTTATTTTTATTTTTTTCTACACATATGTTGTAATGAATGAAAGATATGTAAATATATATTATATTAATATATATGAATATTAAAAAATATTCAAAACAAGACTTTTGATTAAATAGCTCCAAATTTTTTTTAAGGTGGGGTAATAAATTTGCTGTGGCATGTAACATAATTGTGGTTATGCTGCATCATTTGTTTAAAAAATTACACAATGTAAATTTTTTGTTATTTTTCTCATGTCGTTAATATTTACATTAGCGACGGTTAGTATAATTATTGCATTTGTGAGTTGAAACTTTTCAAATAGTGTCTTGACAGATTGACAAGTTGACAAATCAAAAATTTTCTATGCAAAGGAGCTCAAAATTCTGCATTTTCGGAAAGTCAACACTATTTTCTCAAAAATGGCTGCAATAGTTTCTTCTATGGATAGTGCTAAATGCACAAAATAACATTACATAAATGACACTTTGAAGTATTCTTTTGATTTTTCAGAAACTACAAAAATGATTTTTAAACTTTTTTTATAACTCTCACATCATTAATTTTTACATTATGGACATTTTATACATTATTGCATTTGTGAGTACAATTGCTTCAATTAATTTCTTATGAAGTTTGTCAAAAAATTAAATGTTTGCAGTGAAAAAGAGCTTTAAAATGTGTATTTTACAGAAACTCACAATATTTTCTTAAAAACAGCTCAAAATTTTCCAATGAAAATATGCAAATAGGAACAGATTTTACCCTTCTACAATATTCTTAAAATCATATTTCAATTCTACTATTAAGGGTCTGAAAAAATTAGAAAACCTGAAAAACATGTCCATTGAGCTCCAACAGATGGCAACTGAGAAACGGTGGAGCATAATTTAGAATTTTACTGATTGTCGATCAGTCTGAAAATCGTTGATGACACTGAGACTTGTCATTGCCATGTTCTCAGATCATTGCCATGTTTTCATTTATATATGATTTGTATGAGAGGAAATTGGGCAATAAAGAATTATTATTATTGTTTCATGTAAAGACAATCTCTAATCATATTCTTAATAATGGTAATTAAGTAAATTACCATATTTACCCCAATATAAGACGAGGTTTTTTCCGAAATATCTTCAGTCTAAAAAATGCGGGGTCATCTTATATTTGAAGATAAAGCCTAGTTAGTGAGGATTTTATTTGCTATTCCATGTTACGAAACTCATAAATGTTGACATAACAAATTGTGATGATGGAAAAAATATTGCACATATCTACAGCATGTAATTATATTCACGTTCGTATTCTCAGCAGTCACTGTGAACTTGTCAGGCAATTGGACTGATATTTTTAAATGGGTTATTAGAGATAACCTCTAAATAAACGGCATTGTATGAAATGAAGCTTAATGTGAATGCCAAGTGTTGGTTACATGATTTGGGTTTGACAAGACCGTGCGAATCTGCTTTGTGAACAGAAACAGAGGTCATCAAGTGTAGGAGAGATAAAAAATCTGGTGACAGAAGAGAATGTTCTTAGATGGCATCTAATGAAAAACTATGAACAACACAAATTGATACTCATTCTTGTTTTTGACGTGCAAAGCACCTAATTTTTTTTCATTCTAACAATAGTGGGTGAAACGTATTTCTCACATGACATGATGAAAAATATTATACGCAACACAAATAGTGATGATTTTCTACTTCGTACACAACTGTACTAGAAGAGATTTTTAATTTCAAAGTATTTTAATTTCTTTTTGTCTATTTCAGATGAATCTGTGGGAGAAAAGAAGAAGAAAAAGAAGAAATCCCTTACAGCTGAAACTGAACACGGTATGAAACCATTGTTTTTGTTTATTACTTTTCTATTTTATTATTTCAGTTGTTTGGTTAATTATACATTGTAAGTTTATCAATTGGTAATTTATCTGTTTTGAAAAGATGACACGATGGTTACAAACATCCAGATTAGGTGGTACATACATAGTTCATAAGAGAATTCAATGCGAACAGGTTGGAGAAATCGATTTAAAGGAACTTTTCTTTGTCTTAAACGTTACGAAATACTGTAAAATTTCATAAGTTTTTCATTAGGCTGAGGGTAAAATATGTAAAAGAGAAATAAATTGAGAAAAATGTGTTAGTGAGGATGCGAAAAATTTAGGTGCAATATAGAAACTCAATATTTTAAAAATATTGTTGAATTAACAATAACTATGCCTATAATATTCTCAACACATAATATTCTGAAGAAAGATCCTTTAAAACCCAGTTTTACCTTCTCTTGCCTTTTAGGTAATTTTTTGTTGGTTCTGTTGGAAAGTCTATATTTACTATGCATTCTCTTCCTGCAATTTACAACTTGATATAAAGAGTGCTTCTAGTTTTTTTAGTCATTTTTTTTCTCTTTATTTTTTGTATACGTGTGTATTTTATGGCAAAATATACATAATGCAGGAAAAGTTATGTAATGCTGTGTCAAAAAATTGTGATTTTTTGACAGAAAGCTGGTACTGATAAAGAAAAAGTGGATAAATCCTGATCCAATATGTAGTAAATTACTACATATGTAGGTAGCAAAGTCAGAGAGAGCTTAGAGTTTGTTCAGATCAATCAGGGAATATCAATTTTGGAGATAATTAGCTGCACAGTTTTGATGCTAACATTGACCATAGGTGTATAAACAGATGATTTCATTCATCAATTGATATTTCAGTTCAAAGGACCCACAAAACTCGGATTCTGACTATTCCAACGTGTTTTTTGTTACCAGGATTCTGCAATAGTCCTTTCGTCGAAAATTCACCATTTTCCAGCACACAATTATAAAATTTTCTCTTCGTATGAAGTTAGGGCAAGAAAGTAAAAACAGAGCCAACTAGTGCAGTAAATAATGAAAATACTCACCTAGCCTATTGTTTTTAACTTTCTGCATTTTATACATTTTTCCATTAGTTCCCTGAAAAGTGAAAAAAAGGAGTTTTATTGTAATTCCGTATTTGCTAAGAATCTAATGTTCTACTGTTTGTTTTTCTTTAAAACTCTGGCATAAATTTCCCCCTCAAAATTTGACAACTGAATCATATTATTTGATTCCCGCCTACTTTGTATTTCCTACAAATGCACAAAATTTTAATATTCAATATACAAATAATATTTATATTTCAATATTCAAATTACAATAGGTTATATTATTCTTATAGTTTTGTTTTTCATTATTTATCTGCTTTCATAAACAGATAAAAACGTGATTGAAAAACTATTAAACTAATAAAAAAACTACTGAATTACAGGTTAATTTACATCGAGCTCTTGAGGGCTACAGTTTATATTTAGGCCATTTTGGGGTTTGTGTCGCAACATGATATATTCTTTAAAAAAACAACAAAGGAAAAGGGTTCTTTCTCTCTCTCTCTCTCTCTCTTCTTCTTCTCTCTCTCTCTCTTTCTCTCTCTCTCTCTCTCTCTCTCCTCTCTTTCTCTTCTCTCCTCTCTTCTCTCTCTCACTCTCTTCTCTCTTCTCTCCTCTCTTCTCTCTTCTCTCTCTCTCCTCACCTCTCTTCTCTCTCTCTCTCCTCTCTTTCTCTCTCTCTCTCTCTTTCTCTCTCTCTCTCTCACTCTCTTTCTCTCTCTCTCTCTCTCACTCTCTTTCTCTCTCTACTCTCACTCTCTTTCTCTCTCTCTCTCCCTTCTCTCGCTTCTTTCTCTCGCTCTCTCTCTTCTCTCGCTCTCTCTCTTGCTCGGCCAATTGTAAAGGTCAAAATAATGTAATCTATAAATTATATAAACGCCTGAAAAAATTCACAAAATATCCTTGTAGTCTTTGGAAAAATGCAAGAATGATTAAGTCAATATTCATCGGTGGAATGTGGTTAAAAAATTAAACTGATACAGGAAGAAAAAAATATTACACATGAATTTTTGAAAGTTGATCAGTACCTAAAAACATGCCGGTAATTAAGATAGCCATTTGAGCAGGTTTCACTCTAATTGGTGTGGGTATGCATGTAATTTCGTTTAAGCCGCTTTTTATGATCCAGGTTATGAAGAGGCTGAAGAACAAATAGCGACTCCCAGCAGTGAAAAGAAAAAGAAAAAGAAGAGGAAGTCAGAATCCATGGAGTGAAATGGAGTAGTTGCTCTTTGTTATTTAATTTTTGTTTTCTTGACCACCAATTATCTGAGGGATAGATGGAATTGTGAGTGGATGAATTGGACATGCCGAGATTTGCTTGTGTGTATTACAAGGATGTTTATTATCATTCTAGATTGGTTGAATGAAGTGAATAGCCATATTTTTTTGTGTTGTATAATTGAATATTTTTTTATTCATAAAAGATTTTCGGTTGTAAAGATAGTCACATATGTTAAGGAGTTTGTTCCTTTTTGTGACCATCCCTTTCCATTTTCAAAAAGTTCTTTTTATTATGAATTGTACATTGTATATCATGCCCAAGAAATATTCAGAATATTTTACAAGATTTTGGTATTTGTTTTTTGCATTTTCCTTCCCTTTCCACTGTAACATTGATTGCCAATAAACAAGTACATTGGTTAAGTTAATTTTGAAACAGCATTATTCACATATGTTTAAAGTTGTTAGGCCTGTGTCTTGCGGCTGTTGGTAGAATTGCGTAACTACTTACCATGATGTCCTTGAAGTTAAGGAACTTAAGATACCACCAATTCCTAGATGGGTGAGTGTCTTATCTGGTCAAAGAGATGAAAGGCAATAACTGACAGCAATTGCACTGCACTGTATAGTATTACCTGTCACTAATTTTTCCTAAGTCCTTAATGATACAAAATTTGTAGAGTCAGTTGTTGAGGCATACACACACACACCAAAAAGTGGGAGCTGTAGGCCCATCTGCTTAGGTGGCTCAGAGTATCAACTGATGTCTCTGCAGTACCTCTGACCAGGAGGTCCTAGGTTTCGAGCCCTCACGGTGGCAATATTTTCGACGCTATAAGGCTTTTGACGCTACGTTGAAATGATTTTAAATCAATATTTTAATAATGTAAATGTTGGATATATTATGTTATTTTATGCTTTTTTATGTATATAACTTACATGAGCCGACGTCCCACCCACCCAATAGAACAGTTTAAGTATCTGTTCTACTAATAGGAATCCGAAAAATTAAGAAAATTTAAAAAAAAAAAAACTATTTTGAGCGGCGATAGATGGCAGCTGGCAAAAGTAAGTGGCATGACCGAATAGTTAGGACCAAATAAAATAGAAAGCTAATACGGGAACGTCTGTGACACCACTAGTTATATTATAGTCTGTAGCCCGTAAGTCGTGTCAGAAGTCAGAGAAGAGGACCGCCAGGTAGCATCTCCCCCCCATGCATTTTCAAGCTCCCATCTTTTTCAGCTCCACCACTAGCTGTGTCGACCGCGCATAGCGCATTGGTCGTATCACTTCTTGAAGCTCTGGAGCGCGTCGTTATCTTTATTGTTATTATTACTAATATCAGTCGATGGCAGAAACAAATCCATAAAAGTAACAAAATGGACAAAAATGTAATTATCGGTTCCGGTTATTTTCGGCACAAAACAACTGATAATCTGCCCCCGACATGTCGCGACAGCGCTTTGGGAGGCGAACGAGGACTCTTTCGATTGAGGTTACAGAAGATCAATTTAGCATTTTCGTAATCTTAAAAATAAGTTTCTATTATGAAATTATGCATTGGTTCCCTCCATGAGCACGTCGAAGTGTACTCACCATGATTTTTGAAGTCCTGTTCCTGATGATACGGTGTAATAGAGCCATTCCAAACACGAGTATTCTCATCCGCCATCTTCGTGCCCCGCTTGGCGTGTGTTGTGTGGCGACGTTTGTACAAACGCAGTGTTTTGAATCCGTCAATGCTAATGCAATATCCATGCTTTTGAATGACATGATACCTATTTAAGGTACACGTTGAAAAACCAAGCTAGACATTTTTTGTTCAATGAGTAGCAAATTTCCTAGTAGTACATTGAATATAGTGCTGTCGAGATAGCAGAGCTTGTTTTGAAAAAATGAGGCGATATTTAGATATTTATTATTATAATGTATTCTCATTAACATGTAATAAATACCTAAATTATTTTTTCTCTTATTCTGATTGAATAATTAAATTTCTCTGACATCGTCAAAAAGTTGTAAAATGTACTACAATGTTAATCATAATTAATGATTTGTTAAATCATTTGCTGAAATAATTAGCGTATTTAAGCAACACCAAAATATCGACTTACTAGTGTCTCACGACTATAATTAATTTAAAGTAGGTGTGTATTTTTTAGGTAAAAAATGAATATCCTAGTATTTCAACAATATCCTTCAATATCGATACAAGTTAATACTGAAAATTCAATTTCAAAACACTTTTAACGCGCCGTACAATATATGCTGAGCGGGGAACGAAAATGGTGGAGGAGGTTCATGTTTCTAAAGAATTATGCAATCTTGCTTATAAAGCTGAGATCCGATTGGGGAGGCAATAGACAGAGCTCTATCTCCAAGAACACTTCTCTCCCTCCCTACATATCCCTCAAGAGTAGACATTAAGTTAAAGCGCGCATTCTTTCACTTACACCAAGCTTAGTGTTTGCAAATCAACAGTAACTATTTGGATGCATTTCCGGGACCAACTTGAAGACAAGCCTTTTTTGACGACGGTGCCCTGACTCTTGAGTTAAAGACTCAAATGTTTATGTGTAAGAGGGTAACTCACACCGATTCAGAAATGTGTACCCGGAAAATGAACAAAATTTATTGTAGTGTGAACATTTATTATTGAATACTTGCAGAAGTACAGAGAAATTGAACTATCGTACACTTTTTGAACCTTTAACTATCAATAAATAGTTTATTAATATCGATAATCTTTCGAAATACAAGTCTTTTGAATTCCGTTCCACTATCCGTTTCTTCAAAAAGTCTTCTATTTTCACGTAATAGTACTGTACAATTGATGAGGGACAGTGAAACGGACTTTTTTTAATAACCTACCTACAGATATCAAATCTTTGGAGACATGAAGTTGGTTATATTAATGAATTACATACTCCTGGCGACCTTACCGGTACACACAAGGTATAAATTGGACTGAAGCAGGGAGAAGGAAGCAGGTTTTGGATACAAAAACTCTACGATCAAAATTCGCGTAGGCCCTGGGCCTTCGGCAATGGAAGACGTCTGGACCAGTACACAGATCAATAGCAGACATTCCCCTTGCTTTAGAACGTTTAGGGGGGGAGGGGTGCCCAAACAAGTGGTCCTAGAGCCATCGGCCTGGCAGCTGCGGGCACGCCAGTCGCCACCGTGTTCACTGGCTGTGCTTCGAGCTCAGTTCTGGGAAGACTGGTTCGTACACGGGGAACCGCGAAGACTAGATTGATTGGCGGGCCACCCGCAGAAGGGAAAGAGGAGGAATGGGCCCGAAGATGCCGTGAATCCCGCTTGTTGGGCAGGCCTGGTTTAGATGTTCTAGAGGACCGCAACGAAATGTTCGCGATTCTGGATTATTTTTAGCGATTCGTATTACTGCTCTAGTCCCAGTGTAAAACAAGTTGACTACTTTAAAATATTATTTGAAGGGAACAGATTTCTAAGTTTGAGTAATTTCCTAGACATGGCGTGCGAATATTGGAAGAAAATGATACAGGAATTTACAGAAGCCCAGCATGGAATGTTATATTCTCATTGTGAGAACTAAGTACAAGTTTGCGGATGATATGAAATCCTCAACGCTCTAGTTTTATGTGATCCTAACGTCGGATGTCTCGTGATTTATTGTGTAGTGTATGATGCCAAGACGTCTTAATTGTGCTATTACTAAAACTCCTTATTCCCATAGCTAGATTTAGGTAGTGCGGGGCCTCCAAGCACAAAAACGTGGGGCTTCCCTTTGAAAGAATATCCTCCAGATTTTCCAAAAAACTCTCATGATAGAATAAATGTCTGTACAAAAATACATATGAAAATGAACAAATTGTTTATCGATTCGAATTAGTATCATTTTTTTATCTAAACTCATTGTATATCATATTAATCATTTTGCCATAATATAACGAATTTTTACTGATACGAACTTATATATGACCTAATGTCGGCCACTTCCAAAAATTCGAAGTATAGGTTCAGAGAATACGCAACGTCTTGTGAAAACGATTAAATCTGTTTTTGTATTGGTCTGAAATCGGACTGACTGACAGTAAATCCAGCCTCACCAATTCCTTTTTCTGCAGCCACTGGGTGACCCGGGGGGGGGGGAGAAGGACATGGCCCACCAAAAGGCCTAGTTTTCGTTTACCTCTCATTACTTGGGAAAATTGGTTTAAATATTAATTTATATCCGAATTGTGCAATTGTTTAAACAACGTATAGTATCATGTCTATAGGTCATAAATAATATAATAATAACTTTAATAGTGACTTTATTTATGTGGCGAGACACCGGCCATCAGGCCCGCTCTTCCGCCTAACCACGTAATACATAAATGTGGAGATAAAAATTGAACAGTACATTTAGGAAACAAAACAAAATACATTATCGATATGTCTTGTCGCTGGGCTCTCTAAAGCGAAAGAAAATACAACGTCCCACCATTTACCTTAAACGGCCGGGGAAAACAAAGTAAGTGTGCATGCTCATCAACATTGAGCAACAAAATAAAATATTTAAAATAATTTTTTAAAAAACTTTACTGACACAGGAAAACACTAAACGCGTACCCGAAAATAATTTATGGAAAATATTATTTTAGCGACACGCGTCAAATGTATGTCAAATCTACAATATAATAACAAATATGTGTAATATTTAATAAAAATCTACGATCCCCCC